GGTGACTGGAACAGCTCAACGCTGCCAAGAAATGAACCACAACTACTGTATGTAGCTACGCTTTGCATTAAACATGAACTGATCACTGCTCTGCTCCATCCTCCTGAGCGAACTCGCACTGGTGTTCTTGACAGTTGACATGTCCACACTTACAGAAGGCCCTAGTTAGTCAACATTCAGTCCATGCTAGTTTTGTCAAGGGCTCATGTTTGACATAGGTTTACAGTTGGAACGTTTGAAGACTGACAGAAGTGGTACAAGTTGACCTGGCGGGCGAACATAGTCCTATCGCATGATGAATAGAATCGCAAGCATTCTGTCCTCGCTGCGCTTTATACCAGGCTTCATCTCGCGGGCTGAGCTCGTCGCCGTTGGCAGGCTAGCCAGATCTGGGGCATTGATTTGACTGTTGGCGGATTTAGAGAACCATCACCGAATTCCTCGAAAGGATTCGCTTTCTTCGCGATTCAAATCGATGGCGGTGAGGGTTCAAGGGCAACCCACGAGCCGGATGACATGGAGAGCGAAACCGGAACTGTTTCCAGGCATCGTGTGAGGCGATCTGGACACCAAACACTCCATTAGGGAGTAGAGACCAACAGATTTTTCAGCCCAGATTGCCCGTCAGATGAGGAGTTCGCACATATGATAGTCAATCTTTCGCCAATCTTCGTTCCAAGGGGTTCAGTAGGGCACAACCAGGAATTCTTCGGTTCATCGTCGTCCGTTTGACACACTTAATGTGCCCTGTAGAGGAACTTGCGGCTTTAGTTGCAGTTAGCGCTACTACTGCATAGTACATACTCATAGAGACAGTGCCTGGGAAGTGAGATACCATCCCAATGCACATCATACTTGAAAGCATGATTCGCATTGTCCACTTTAAATCGTGGAGTCTCCTATTCTCGATGCAATGATAATGCCACTTCGCCCGTCGCCAAGGCCGGACCTTCGATCACCTCGCCAATATTAACATTGGATATTGACTACTCTTTTGGGATACGGAAGTCCGCAGTCCGTAGTCCTGCCCAGTTAATCACATTTCCCGGAAGCGTTCGCATAACGCAATCTATTGCGCATCCAAGTGGCAATTGGCCGCCAGCCTATCAACACTTTGGGTACCTGGATGTTAACCGTCATCGAGACTCTGGCCATGAACTGGCCAAAGCACTGCCGCCAGCGTCAGAGAGAGAGGGGGAACAGTGCGCTTAGACGGGCACTAGCACGATACGGCATCCGCCGGGTTCCAGGTCATGACTCGTGAGGCGTGACCTCGTGGAAGTTGGGGCCTTCTTAACAATGTTCTAGGGTGTATTCCATATCGTTAGTGCCAAGCTCACGATCCTAGCCATTCGAAAGATCTGATTGATTCAGCCGATCATAAGTATACCAGGAACCATTCCGGTTTTCGCAATAATATTCAACCGCGAGAGTTATCCATGGTGGATTAGTGGGCCGACTAGAGAGCATGTGAGAAGCGACAGAAGTCAGAATGCTCAAGTGACTTTGCCGCACCGCCAATTGCCCCCGACTCCACAAAGCATTGTGTTTTCCAATATGTCACTTCACAATCTCTTCGCCGCTTGACTTCGCAGCCGCGCTCATATACTGTACCATAGCGCTGGGTAAGAGACAAACATATACTCGGAACTGCCGACGAGACGAGAATAAAACGCGGTTCCTTGCACAATTCAGTCTATCTTCAACTCACCCCGCCTGTTCATTTCATTAAGATCTTCGGGTTCTATGGATTTCTCGTGCTCCATGCACATTTCATAATAAGCCTGGTCGACTGGCTTTCACGTCGAAGCTCTTGGAGGGACCTCGTGATGGTTGTCAGAGCCATCCAGGAACCGTGACCTGCAGCCTGCAGGCCGACCAGTGTCTGCAGCAATGAAACATGCCAGCAATATTATTAAATACTAAGGCTGTCAACTGGTAGGCAGGGTACATATATCTCAGCTCAGCCTAACCAGATGTGAGACGGCCATTGCCGATTGCGGCCGTCTCTACGTGCAGGCGCATGTTTCTCTGGCGATCTTAGAGTTCGGTTGAGGGGAAGGTGGCTGGGTTTGTCGCATTGTCAAAAAGCTGATCGAACGATAGGTAGCTGCATCGAATATTGAATTAACTCCCTTCAAGGCTGGCTGGCCACGTTTAACCAAGACCTTGGAGCCGAGAACAAACCTACCTTAGTCTACACAAGTTACAACCGAATGGAGGTGCTTCACGATGGGTCAAGAAGCAGAAATGGCCTCACGATGCTCCGTCTTTAGTGCCACGGTCGGAAGCGGCCAAATACGATGCATCAAACACAGCAATTGGTCCCGAATGAGCTGGTGGGTTCGCGGTGAGGCACAGCTGCAGCGAGGATCGGTGAGCGCTACTGATTTGTATTTATCAGTGCAAACGTCCTAATGTATCCTGAATTCTCACTGTCCCTGGTAGCGAAAGCTGATCTTATGCGGGGTGCCCGCTGGTTCCTGAAGAAGTTCAGTGTCTATCTGGGACCTAGCGCAGGTCACCCGCGATATCGTAATGGCGGGGCCGCATTTCCATAATTCGCGGCTGTTAAGGGCCGCCTTTCCATGAACTGGGCACATGAAACGAAAATCGGCTTGCTGGATGGTTCGACTTGGATGCAGAACTTGGTGGCTGGCCAATGGTCTCACCCGCAATCAGGGGACTAGCGTGTTCCTTTGGGGGCTACTGGCACCGCTAACACTTTAAGGGTGTTCCTTGCAGCGCCTCAGACCCCAGTTCCAACGCGAGAGCCTAGAGGAGCGAGTTCTGGGGTTCGGCCCTGTTTATGTTGCTAGCTCTAATTTGCTTGCTTGACACGATTCGGGGGCTTGACCTGCAGGGAGGAGAAGTACGCTATGCATACGAAAAAGAGGGGATGGATGACAGACCCATGGAGTGCAATGGGGATGTTCATGAAGCCCAGGACGCTTTGTCCCTAATAGCTGCGTGCTAGACAGTCACCCGTTGGATTCGAGAAATGTGGCGGAAGAGCAGGACATCATAAAGACCAGGCGGGCAATATTAGGATGTCGTTCAAGACCTCCATTTAGATATAGGTACCTTTCGATCCACCTCATATTGGTTCCAAGCTTCCGTACCCTCCAAAGCTCCCATTCTACTTTGTAGAGCACTTGAGACCACTCCCGTCTCCTTTTTACATTTCATTGCTCCAGCCCTGACACATACATACCTTATACAACTATACTACACAGCACTGGTACCTCAGTGGTACATCGCACCATACCTATACCTTGTCGCTTCTCTTTTCTTTTGCTCGCTTCGACTCACTGTCACACTGCGCGCGCCTCTTCACACCTGTTCCGTACCTTAATCGGACTTTGACTCTTACCAGAGCCGCTCTTCCTCCCTTAAGGCGCCAGCTGCCGGATTGTGATTGACACATTGTCGATTGCGATCCTTGGATTCAAGAAAGACGTCGTGGTCAAACTTGCGCCACCTCAAACCACGTGGGTGCCCCTAGGCGAGCTTCTCGGTCACCCAAAGGCCTGTCTCGACCACGCTCTTGCGGTCTAGGTTCCCGATATCCCGCAGGATTCCCCCAGGTTCCCCAACCCTATCAATCGCGGCAATCATCACGGCACCATCCATCACGTCTGGCCGCTCAACTGGATTCTCCTTTTCGCAAACGTCGGCTTCTGGTTCCTGGATCCCTGGGCGTTCAATTGTGTATGCATCCGTAAACGTCCATTGCATAGAAATATCCCGGGACGCAAAGCAGTCGGCCCGTCGCCGCAGACAGCGTTTGCACCACCTGCAGAGGGCAGACACACCCCAGGCAGCGCTGTCAGCACCATAGATCCAGGCTCGATTTCGACTGGGGATTACGGGTCCAAATATCCCAGCCGTTGTGTTTCTGCCGGTCGACATCCCACAGATTCTGCTGCATCTCCGACTGGAGCGGCATAGAATCCCTCCTTAATCGCTTGTTCCCTCGTCCTTCATAGCTGTGCACGCAGCTCCTCATTCGATTTGTCCTGGTCATTCTTCCTCTTCACCCGTTCCACACAGCGTTCCCCACCTGGAGCTAGAACTCTCGGCTCTTTCATAGCCCTGTAGATTACTGCTCTAGTAATCTATCCGTCGCAAGCTATACTGATCGATACTACACACCAACGCGGTCACTAAGCCAGTCCTTAAAACCACGGGCATACTCCATCCTCGGCCTAGAGATATCGGGCACGTATAGGCCAAAGAAGTCGCCTTGTTAAGATCATCATAAGGTCTAGCCACTTGGGATCCTTGACGATTGGCTTCTGCAACAACTCCTCGAGAACTCGGGATTAGCCAAGACGAATCGAAGCGAACGACATTTGGACGTGCGGCGACAAATGAAATCTGAAAATATTCGGAAACGATATCACAACGCCTTCCACAAGCGTCGTACCTACATCTGACCGTTGAAGTCTGCAGTGGGACGAGACACCAAACAATCGCATCAAGAGTTTCGACCCGCACATTTCGTCTTCCACACCGTCGCCAACTATTTCGGAGGCACCTGTTCGCTTTTGGTTGTATTATCTCAGTAATGTATGCTCACTGCAGCTTTGTTCCAAGATCCTGATATTGATTTTGATGTTCAGCTTATCGCCGACCGCCTGGTATCCGAGAGGATCCTGACAATGCGTCTGAGAAAGCCAGTTATTCGGCCAGCGGACCTCTAATTCAAATCGCAGAGAGTTGTTGGGTCTGTCATCTTGGACTCGGCCTCGACTCGACTTGTCTCGGCTCCTTCTTGTCCCTACATCATTCTTGATCGTGCTCGCATATTGCGACCATACCTCAACCTCTCTCCAGAACAGTCAAGATTGTGTCTCTCCTCTTAGAGCCCAGCCTGGCAACACCCCTCTCCTACACTCACCAGTCCTCGTTGGTTTTCTTTTATTCTCACCGTCATGCTGGTGAGGCAACACCCAGAACAGCCTAGTAGTGTTGGGCTACCGGGAAGCAGCCCAACCATGGGAATTGCTAGCACATACGGCCCTGATCCTCCCCCGGTTCAAACTACCCACTCTCATGTAAAGGCCCCGGCATTATCTCCAACATGGAAAGGCTTTGTCCACACCACGATGGACGCCATGATGATCTTCGAGGCGTGCCTCAGTGGATATCTCCACCATATCCCGCGGAGACCTCATGACAAGGAGCGTCCTGAGCTGATCACGAGCGGATCATGCTTTGTTTACGAGGAAAATGCCTCTGGAATCAAGAGATGGACCGATGGGATGAGCTGGAGCCCCAGCCGGATCATGGGCAATTTCCTAGTGTATCGAGAACTCAACCAACCATTTCCTCCTGGCGAAAAGAAACGTGCAAAGCGAAAGCGATCAATGGCGGACGTTGGAAACGAAGCAAATTACCGGAAGAGCTCAAATTCACCAGACGTCGAGACTCCTGCAAAGGGTAACTGCGCCGAAGATCGACGACTTGTTGGATCGTTGATAGACTCGTACGGGTTCAAGAAAGGCGGCTTGATCAAGAAGACACTGAGCATCAGCTCAAATCAGTGCAACCACCACATCATATGCTACTACACACTCGAGGACATCAAAGCTGGAAAATGTCTTCGTCCAGTTCAGCACCCTGACTTGGCACATCTTCGACCACGGCCGTCCCTAGTTGAGGGAACGGCCAAGTTCAGGTGTCCTCTGAGTGAAGGGCTCGACGATGTCCGGGAGCTGGTGCAGTGGGAGCTCAGTGAGCAGCAACAACAAGAGCAACAGGACGTGAGCAGCCGGCCAATTGCACAACCACGTCCGCGCTTGAGCATTAGCATGCCAGTGAACTCGTACAATCCACCCCAAGTGGATTACAGCGGACCGATGATGCCTCATCAGTCTGTGAATAACCACTCCGCTCAGCAACAAACCCCGGTCGCATGGGCACCATCCCCTCATCCATCGATAGGCATACCAACTACATCTCATAGTATGCGCGCGTCTCCTACAAGCCACGCCCCTACAGGAGGGAGCATTCCCCCATCGGCCTCAACCTTATCTCCTGTCCATGCGACCATGATTCCAACCCAAGAGGTTCCGCGGTCAACAGTCAACCATGGATACACCGACTACACTCATAGCCAATATCAAGAGCATATTGCCCAACCAGAAATCCACCACGCACCAGAAAAACACCATCAATCTCAATCTCCTAACCTCGGACAATCCGTACTCCACCGCCACTACGCCGTCTCAGTAACGGACACAGACACCTCCTCTTTTGGCGACCCCAACGAGGTTCCCTTCGATAGCCACTACTATCCACCCTTCCAACAATTCCCCACCTCAACTCCAATTCAGCATCATCTTCAGCTCATCCAAATCAGCACACCAATGAAGTACGAGCCCGATCCACGAATTCACGAGATCCCAGACGAGGATGAATACTCAGACCAGGAACTGTCGCCAGTGCATGCATTCCATCCCGTTGTGCACACTCCAACAATGGTGTCGATTCAAACACCAGGTACGGGACCGAGCACGCCATTGGACATGATAGGGGGTCACCTTGCAGGGCCGTACGCGAGTTATTTCTTCCCTTCGCCTCAGCAACCGATGCCGGTGATGGTTGGACATTATACCCAGTATCCCGTCTCTGGTTGACAGCTTTTGGTCCCGACATGGGCTTAATAGCTTAGCGCAATCCCTATCTCCCCATCCCGTAACGTGCCCCGTTTTCACGTCCTTCCATCCCTTTCTTCTTGATATATGAATTAATGATTTCGATACCCCGGGCGGTAGTTTGTTGGCTGGCGACTGTGCGTACATTATGGAAGAAGCAAGAAGTTGGTCTGTGAGGAGGCTTGCCTTTCCCACAACCTAGATGTTTCTTGGAGTTGTATCGGTCAGCAGCAGATGCCACCGTAGATGACGACAGGACGGTGTCACGTTTTCCTGGTTTTTGTATATATGCCTATGCTCTCTCTGGTTGATGCCCTGACTTTCTCAGTCAACGAATATTGGGTGGTAATTTTGCTTCCTATGCGTCAATCGGTTTTCATTGGAGAGGAGCTCTTGGTATTTTAGTTGCATGACGATGGCTATTGAGGGATATGTATATGCGGAGTGGGTGTTTGGTGCATAGAGGCACATAGCTAGCTGGAAATACGATAGTATGAAATGACAAGTTTCTCAAAGCTGTTCATCGGGATTTCTGTCCCCCAACTGGTTGTCACGACGTATGAAGCGACTAGACGGTGAGTCTTTGCCTAGAATTGACAATTTGCATGAAGACTCTTAAACTTCAGCAGAACAGGAAGGACGAGAGGGAACAGTTAGCATGGGATATCGCCAAACGCCACTACGAGGATCACAAATTGTAATGAGTTATTTTATCAAGAGAACTTGGACTTCAATTCGCTATCATAGGAACTATTAAGATGTTCTCCTAGAATTGAGGTGTCTAACTTGCCAGTCTCTTGACCCTCCCTATCCTTCACTCCCAAAACGACCAACGACATATCACCTATTCTTCTCGCTCTGCACATCTTTCCTGCCCATAGTCCCAATATTTCCGCCTATATGGTCACCAATTCAGCTCCAAGCAGGGTAACACCTGCGAAGCCAAACGATGACCGTCTATGATCGCTCCAGACTGGGGGGAAGGGCCTTCTTGTTGACATTGATATTGAAGAAGTGAATGCAAGAGGAATGGAAAATGAGCTGGTAGAATTCGTCGATGACCTTTTTCGCACTTTTCCATACACGGTGAAGTTCTTGTCGATGTACCGCGGCATGGAAAATTTGATTCGTTTGATAGAGGGGTAGGGGTAATTGACGTGGGATCTGATCCCGTGTTGGCCATTGTGATAAATGATCATAATAGTTCTCATGACCACATCTGCTGGGGCGGACCTATCGGTCGGCTTGCACAACAAATACCCAACTCAATGGGTTAGTGGCGTCACCCAGCTCAGCATACAGCCAAGATAGCACTCCACTGAAGCCTTGTGGGTGACTGTCCTGCATCGTTGTGAATGTGAAAAGACAAAAGTCTCTTCCCTTGTCGAAGACATTAGCATACGAACCGCAATATGCGAGGACAAGATTTCTTACAAAGTCAGCAGGAATCAGCCATGGGGGTGTGGGCGGGAGGAGCATCGCCCAAAGATCATTTTATTTTCACACATCGGTCGCAGCGGACATGATGCTGCCGCTAACTAGCACACTGCATGGACAGCGCGCCATTGTGGCCTCGACACGAATCAAAATGCACTTAGGCATGATATAATGTCGAACGTTGCGGCAAAATGTGTTTTCGTGCAACTCCACTCGACGACTCCTTCTGGATGGATGAATTAGCACATGATCACGAATACAAAGGGGAGAAAGGTTTACCAGCTAACAAGCCATTGAACACCACAAAGGAAATCTGCGACGAGACTTCGTGATGGTGGCTAGGAAAGCTATATTTGTCAGAAGTGTGTCAGAGGTTATTGCGGATGCAGTGCGTACCTTGAAGTTAAATCCCTTAATCACCCTGGCACTCTGAAGCTGAGATACCTCTCATTCCGACTGTGAGTCTGGCATGACGGTCTTGCTTGACAATGAAGCATCCACGCCGCGAATGCCATTCATGTAACTGATACTGAAAAGGAACAGAGGGTTTGAGCAGAGCTGAATATCCCTAGGTAGGGAGTCTAGATCTGATTTGATGAAGAGTGCGGATGAGAAAGTGTGGAGCGGTATACACTAGGTACAAGAGTAAACGAAACTAAAAAAGAAGGCATGGAATCCATCAAAACAATGAATGAATGCGATATGGCAGTCATGCCCGGCATTCGATGCACTGAAATGAACATGAAATGCTGTAATCACCAGTGGGCGTTTTGCATGAAAAGTGCTGGAGATGAGCCTTGTCGGGGATTTTGAAGGTGAATCGCCAGGTGTCTGATAGGAAGACAAGGGCGGACACTGTGAGGATGTCGCAAGGACACCCGAAAGGAGAAATGGGCTGGTCGAGCATGCGTTAGCCCTCTATGATATTCGAGTGAAGATCATGACTATTCATGAGAGATCGCTGGTGTCGTTACCATGCTTAAGGTGGTTATGGTGACAGAGCGGCGTCTGTCACCGAATCTCTCACCTGTTGGGGAACATCGCCCCAACTGATGCTGTCTCATTCCTTGACGGAGTGAGTTGTATCCACAGCGGAACACGGTACTTAGAAAAACAAGAACTGGGGTTGTTGATAGTCTCTGCAACTCTGGGAAAAAGGCGTACTGTTTGACACCTCTTCGAGATAGGATATTGGAAAAAGATACCGGTCGCGATGACTCGATATGGAGTTCGACATAGGCGTATTCGGCGTGCCGGCGGTGAAGACGTTGCAGACATCCATCCACATGGAGTGACTGAACGAAAAGCGTGGTCGCAGCGCGTGCTACGATGCTTTACTTAGCGGTGTGAAAATGCAAGGCCTCATACGAGGGCCTTGTACGGACTGGCGGACAATCGGCGTGTCTCTCGGTTGCGCGTGATGAGATTCATTCGCAGAATCTCGGGAAGTGGTGTTAGCGGTGAATCAGCGTGTCCACCAAATATACCTTCTCTCGGTGAGGTGACATGAAAGATTTTTCTTTCGTGGATCTTTATCAGGCTCAAGATCGAGCACTTACGACGATGCCCAAGTTACTCTGCAGCGAGAGGTCGGGTGGTGCTTACAGCGAAGCACCGGCGTGAATGAAGAACTCCAAAAGTTTCAGTCGGTCGTCAGCGTATCCTGATGCGATCTCGGCGGCGTGGTGGGAAAGAACAACATCTTTCACGAATGGTATCTGTCCGCAGACGATTCTATGCGAGTACTGCGGATGCCCTCTAAGAGGGACTGGGAGCTCTGGAACAGCGCAGAGCTAGAAAAGAATTCGTGGAAGATGTAGTTCGATGTATTGTGTAGTGGAGAGTGGAATTTCCGGGATTGGGTGGAGGCGAGAGGTTGTGTGCGAAAATTCATCGAAGTGATTCCATCGAGTTTGCGTTTGAAAGTTTGGAAGTTTTCGAGTGAAGGGACTCTCGGCGTGATTGACATTTGCTGTGAGATTTCTTGCTGGTTGACTCGACAGAGTTGGGTTTCTCGATTCGCTTCGTGGACAGAATTTCCTCTGTGGCGACTTCACCATTTGCCGCCGCATTATTGTCACCGGAGTTTCCGACATGTGCAAAGAAAAGGATTGAAGTGCTTGATGCCCTCATTTCGAAAGGAGTAAATGAGTCCATTGGTTTCATCTCCGGAGGGCCTTGGCCGCCATACTCAGCTCAGTCAAAGGTGCAGCTGGAGTAGAGCGAGCGCATTGCGTATAGGTAATATCGCTGTATTAACCACACGAATATAATCTTTTTTAGCTATAATGTCAGCGCGACGGATGGCCTCGTCACTGGTGACGGAGGTTTGGGATGGCCATAGCGGACCACGTTCAGGAAAAGAGCAGACGGAGAGGATGAGTCCCGATGGACTCACTCTCGACTTCGGGCATAGACAGGATTGTGGGTTCATCCGTGTGTTTCAAATCGACGGTGAAGAAGAGTTGAAAAGTGAAAGAATTTGCCCCGAGAGGAACCGCGCAGGGTACACTTGGCCGCCTATCTGAGCTCAATCAAAGCTGCAGCTGAGATAAAACGCGTGAGGGGTCCAAAAAAAGGCGTCTTTCGGATAGAAATTTGTTTGAGCCATAATCGGAAGCGCGACTGATGGCCTGTCATTGCTAACAGTGGTATTGGGGAGCGGCCACAGCGGACCACGTTCAAAAAAAGAAGAACAGTCAAGGAGCATACCAAAAGGCTCATCCCAGCTTCGGTCTTGGCGTGAATTTTAGCTCGTGTCGCGTGGAAGAAAGAGATCTTACAGAGAGAGCCTCTGGTTGTGGTCGGAAGGTGAATCTCAGTCCGCGGCTTGCAGTACCTGCGCAGATGGATGGATTCTTCACGTGTACCAACTGTATGCTGCAGTCGGCAAGTTCATCGTGATTGACGGGCATCAAAATCACGGAGGCTGGGTTGGAATTAGTCAAGTTGAGATATCAAAATAGCACATTCGACTCACCTGGACATGAAGCAAACGCTCCTAAGATCGGGGGTTTAAGTGTCGGGGGTCAAAGTTCAACGATGTCCGCTCACAACATATACCCATCATGTGCCCATATGAGGGGCTGTGAGCGGACCACCCACGTTTGTTGAAAATGGATATCTAGGGGCAGCCTCAGTCGGCGACGTGGTCAGCACGTAGCAGAGGCCTCGTCTTAACGCTGACGGGGCTGTGCCTAGCCACACAAGCTAGGGAACTGGGGTGTTCTCAAACACACGGAGCTCGGATGAAAGAGCGTTGGCGAGGGAGTGTTGGCTGGACGGACGGTTGTGTATCAGAACAGTGCGATGGGCCCGGAAAATTGACAGGACAGTGGGGAGTGGACTTGACTGTGATCGGGGATTGAGTTCGGTAGGGGGCATGATTAGGCATGATGAAGGAAAGAATTGAAAAATCTTCTCATGCGATCTACGCGGTGCCGGATTCCTGAAATCTAACCGTTCCATAAGCATCTCTAAACCAGTGACTGCTAGTTGCGGACTCACCAAAGTCGACTAAACCAACGTCTGCCAACAAATGGCCAAGGGAATGAAATCTAGGGACAATGAATCCTCCACCCGATTAGAAGGTGAAGTTTCAAAGGCAAACGAGTGAACTATGCACTCGGTTAAATAATGGCCGGGGTGAGATTCAACCGTGTACAAGTACTAGGAGTCCCAAGTCAGAATACAGGATTGCATTGAAAATCAAAGAGTGAACGAGGCACTCGGTCCAAACGGATGACTTGGGTGAGATATGACGTCGCATACAGGTACGGTGACCATGTACGGGTGGTCACTCTAGCAAGTGACGTGCGGAAATGCGGAGATCTGGTTGTAGACCGATGTCGTGTGAAGAGATGGGCAGAACACCAACAATGTAGTGAGTCGCCTTCAACACGATATCTTGACCAGGCGCTGTATTGCCTGTCTCGGTGACATCTAGGCCGGAGGAGATGGTGATGTTAATTGAGCTGTTGAATCAGTAACTGCAGGAATATTAAGGCAGAATAACAAGACTCACCGTGTAGAATGGGTAAGGTATTGTATCTGCGAAGTGTATGCAACGCTCATCATCTCAAAGTGAATGCAAATACACGAGAGGTTTGATTGGCAATGTTCTCGCGGCGATAGCTAGACTCGATGAAAAGGCGATATGTATTAACTATCCCATGTTAGCGTGCACAGTAATATGAAGATGGAATGACGTACAGCTAGCTTCTGTCGCCATTAAGTGACGGAGTTGCTGATGGAGAGAGAACCTTGATCCGAGGGTGAGCTGGTTACGATCAATCGTCACGTAGTGCTCGTCGCTTGTAACTGTTCCTGTAGCCAATCCGAAGAAATGGGATGGTGTGAACGCTTGGGGGGTTGGAGTTCGTCTTAGTTTCTCCCTACCGGAGTGGTAGGGATACTTGTCGCCAGCACCGCGAAGAGGTGCGAACTCAGCGCTGGCGGAAATGAAGGCTGCTAGCGGCAGAGCCAACAGAAACTGGAAGCTGTAAAGAATGAGTGTTATTAAAGCTGAGCGATGGAGTGAGGAAGTGGTGGGTGTCTGTGAGGGAGAGAGGGAGAGAGGGAGAGAGGGAGGTAAGGAGGTAAACAACATGTTGGGTGAGAAATTTTGACGATTGTGCGAGGAGTTTTGTGTGGGAAGTCAATGATAGAGTCGCTCTCAAACCAACAAAACATCCCAACACCAAAATAAAAATGCGCACCAAAGCGATCAGCCATACTGCAGGCAACAGAACAGAACAGCTCAGTGAGATAATGATGCTGATGTCATGCTAATTTGTGGATAGAAGAGAAGATGATGAAATGGAAAATCAGCCCAGAAAAACATACTCTGATGCTTTTAGTGAGATCGTGAGTAAATAAAACTTTCTGGAGCAGCAGTCGAAAGAGAGGACCAGGCCGGAAGGCCCTCAAAGTGACTAGGATAACAGGTCACAGGGACCTTAAGATTTTGCTACACCCTCACTGATGGACTAAACTGGTGCGATGAGCAATGGAGAAAGGGGATTTGAAGTGAAACAGTGACTGGCCTCTGAAGATCATGATGTGATGAAATTAGTAGAAAGTCTGGGTGAAGAGATTGAAGGGAGGGTATCATAGAAAGCGAGGCCAAGGGAAAAATGAGAAAGACGGGTGAGGGAATTTCCAATGTTGATATTCCGCTTATGTGCGGTCGAAGATGGGGATCCATGCCAATATAGCTGTTAGCATGAAATGAGGCAGAAACCCAAAATATCACCCGACGCAGTGATTGCCATGTTGGTGCTGAATCTGAGAGTGCTTGAAGGGAGTATAGGAGAGAACAGAAACAGGCGTCAAAACATAAGATCATGGGGTACACCCCAGACCCCTCAGTGCTGAAAATGAGAATGCAGGTCGACGGAAGTCAGTAAAGATGAGCTGGCCGTGTTCACGGCAACACCTACAGTCCAGTTTAGAACATATAGGCTCGGCTTGGGAATGTTGTCGAGATTGGTGGTGTATGGTTTAAGAATGGTGGAACGTTCTAAGAGGGGGATAGAAGCTTGAATCAGTGAAGGACTGGAGAGATACGAAGTTGGCATGGAAATATGCGAGCATGTTGAAGGCGGAATATTTCATGGTGATGTAGCATGAGAAGGAAGAGATTTGAAGAGGAAAATGTTCGGTGTGTATGGACAAACAAGTGAGAGTGTTGATTGAGAGACGGTTGGTTTATCCTGTCTGCCTGCTCTGATATTTCCGCTGCCATGTCGAGGCTCTGTTGCCTGCGAGAAGTTCATTTAAAAAGGTATAGGAATACTGGTATATGAGAAATGAGAGAAGCACAGGATGAATGATTTCTACCCTGTTGATACCATTTCTTGGAGTGCGTTTAACGATATCAATCTCGAGTAGAGCGGTGGACTGAACGGCAGGCTGTTACCTTGGGCAGAAATACTGTTGAGGGCGTTCGAAAACACTGATGTTAAAATGCACCATTCCTACAGCTATGAAGAAGCATCGTCTATCGATATCCTCCAAATAATTGTAACATCACAAACCTCATGTGAGTTACAGTACTTACCCTCTCCCACATCACCCTGGAAGACCTACGATACATACTTCCAAACCTCCAAAGACACTGACTTGCACCAAGTCATCATCCATTCCGAAACTCGGACACGCCTTCCCGGATCAAACCCAATCGGGCAATCCGATCGCTGTCGGAGTGACAACTCATCGGTCTCGAGGACCTTGCAGATAAGCGTGGACGGGGCATCAGCCCTGTTCTGGCGCAACCAATGGGAGGATTCAGCTTCATGCGAAGGGGACTGATGGGCTATCGTCACTGAGGCTTACTTCGGGGTTATGGCTACGAGAGTGGATATTCTCTGGACTCGGTCAGCCTCGTTATGACCGAATTGCCTAGCTTCCCGAACGGCTCTAAAGAGTGAGAGAAGTTGAGGAGACGCGAGATTCATAACGGGAAACGAATATATGAGAAAGGAGGGGAATAGTTCATCGACGACCCAGGGTCGATCGAGCCCATCGACTTCTGTAGATTCTCTGCGTTGTCAGTAGGCCGGGGTTGCGGAGAATATTTCCCTCGTCGTCCTTGCCCGTGACGGCTTCGTTTGATTCTGCGCTGGCCATGAGTGATGGAAATATGCCTGTCAATCTAGCTTAAAAGCATGCAGCCGCCCTAATCATCGAAGCAGACCTCACCGTCATTGTCCGTACTGATATCGGGGATTCGTAGACCATCTCACGAAGCTGTCCGCATATTGCTCGAACCCCAGGTCCCTGGTGATACAACCAGTATCAGAGCCGCGACTTTCCATCCGGTACGAAATACACTCGATAGGTTCCTAGTGTGTTTTGCTGATCCGTCCAATCCAGTTCCAATTTCGCGCCTTGTGGAGGAGTGTCTGATTGCATTCTCATTGGCAGCCGGGACTCGCGCAGGGCTCCAGTCAGAGGCGACCGACCGAAATATTGGTGGACTGGCCGACCACACATCATCGAATCAGGCATCGCTCATCAACTTGGTTGCCCGGTATGTCCGACTGTAAACAAAAAACGCGTCGATCTAAGATGCGACAATTGCGATGGTTCCGCGTCGCACAGATGCGAATGGGGAAGAGAGACGGCCGTTGACATGCCACACAGAAATCTCCGCTCCGCTCCGCTGCCGCCTCCGCTCGCCCGCTCCATCGCCGATCTGCTGCTCATCGGTTGCTGTTCCCTCCCGCCTCCACTCCCCAGCTTGGTTTCACCACCACATCCCCGAACGACTTCACCATCATCGCGCTTCTCTTTCGCAATAACTTCGTCGCGTAACGATTCCATACGAATTCTCCTATCGCACGTTCTCAACGTTCAATCGAATCCCAGCAATCCACACCAACCGCGATTCCTCAGCATCGAATTCAGCTCGCCATCCCCCGACCGCTGCTGTAACCCATCGGACGAGCTACAAACACGTCGGACAGAACTGCAGTCAGCCATTTGAGTCAAGGCGCAATGGACCCTGCAAGCATGCAGGTAACAGGTCAACCCAAACTGCACCAGCAGCAGCAGACGGCTCAATCTTCGCAATCACAGAATCCGCGCAAATACGACGGCAAGAACGGCAATCCCAATTACGATACGGACAATGGTGGTCACTATGGTATGAGCTCACTTCGCGAATTTGATATGCTATTAAGTAGTTCTTTTGCTGACGGTTCATCTCAATAGGTGCAAGTCAACAAGTATGTCACCTGGGAGGTGAAGCGGATAGCTTTGGCTCCGTACCCAATGGAATCGTTACTGATTGACTTTGGTTAGATCGCCTTATCTGGGCACGCTCCCAATCCCGAAGTATTTACCGGACACTGGGCAAACGTATCTTATATATTCTTATATATGCGAAAGAACCAATAGCCTAACCAAATACAGGTCAACCAAGGTCTTACTGGCCACTACCGCGACATCCTCAACACGTACTGGCAACAACAAGTCACGAAGCTCGAAACCGACGAGCACGACTACAAGATCCACCAGCTCCCCCTCGCGCGCATCAAGAAAGTCATGAAAGCCGACCCGGAAGTCAAGATGATCTCCGCTGAAGCGCCCATCCTCTTCGCCAAAGGCTGCGACATCTTCATCACCGAACTCACCATGCGCGCGTGGATCCACGCCGAGGAAAACAAGCGCCGCACCCTCCAACGCTCCGACATCGCCTCCGCCCTCGCCAAATCCGACATGTTCGACTTCCTCATCGACATCGTCCCCCGCGAGGAGGCCACCTCCCACAAACGCTCCCACGCCGCCGCCCAGGCCGCCGCCCAGCACCCCTCCCAGCACGACCAGTCCGCGCACGCCGCCGCCGGCGGGCACCCGAACACGCATCCGAGGCAGGGCATCGTCCCCCCGCAGGCCGTCGCGCAGCAGACCGGCGTGCATCCGCCGCCGCCGCATCAGATGCCGCCGCCGGAGTACGCGATGCCGGCGCATTTGCAGCCTGACCAGGAGTATCGGCAAGCACCGGGGATGTATGGAGCGCCGCAGGCAGTGCAGGGTGATCCGGGGGCGCCGTATGGGCAACAGGGGATGGGGTTTGATCACCAGGTGTATGGGTATGGGATGCCGCCGCAGCAGGTGAGTGGAGATAAGGGTGGGTAGGAAATGGCACCGCTGATGTGATTTGTAGCATTGAGTCGATTCCGGGAGATGGGATGTAAGCAGGAAGGGGGATGTGGGATGAGTGGCATGGAGTTCTCTGGAATGGAGTAGCTGTCGTTATCCATACCTGACTTTGGTACTCACCGCGATGAAAATGACGAGGGAAAATCAGTAGCATGATGGAGGGAATTCAAGAGGTCGAGACTGGGTTTTCTTTTATTTCATTCCCAGTCAAGTTCTGGGACGGCGCCTTTCACTTCGCGATGGTCAGATTGGAGTATATAGGTCGTATTAGAGGCGTTCGGACCTCGTTAATGACATTGCATGAGTGTACATGCAAATGAATTTCGTCCAAACTCAAACCCATCATTTTCTACGAAGCTTAAGGTAGTATGTAATATACATAGTTAATCGGGACCGTGACAAGTAATACTCCATCCCATACTCCCTCCAAATGCTAGTCCGGAACCAACCCATCATCCACGCCGCCCTCCGTCCCGAAGGCACCTGGATATCCCGAACTCCCGATCCCATCCTAAGGGATAAGTGTACCGCACCACACTGCCGTGGCCCAACAATCCCCGGTCCGGATCTGCCCGAGCCCCCATCCATCCCAAACATCGGACGCAGGGACAGAAACGGGCAGATCGATGGCGTGCAGTTCCGAGGCACGCTCACATGCTGGGAGAAGATGGTGGAAGATGGACGATGGGAGGATCCGTTGGCCCATGGAATTGGTTTATATTGAGAGACAGGTGCTGTTATGCCAGATGACACGTTTTCTACACACCATAACACAACGATTAATACTGAACCCGTGAAAGCGAAAGTGAAGGTAACGTGAACAACGCAGCGAACTCCAAACCCCGTGCCGCACAATCGATAACCCCCCACCCCCACATATTGACTAACGTCTGGATATTAATTTCTTCCTCAACGTCACCCTTCACAACAAACAACCACTCACTACTTCCTTCGCTCCTAGTAGACCACGATCCATATCCGGTCTAATCCCTCATTCCAATCCCTATAAACACCTCTATAGCTTTAAAGCTACCACTAAAGGTACGAGACACCTCGTGAAGCATCCTACCCCGCCAATTGAGCCTGTTCGCTGACTGGAACTCTCTTAGAACCGTCATCATGAAAGCTGGTTAGTCGTCGGAATTGAACCCCGTCAGCGATATACAGCAGGAATTAACATCGATTAGTCGTTGCTGGAGCCGCTGGTGGTATTGGACAGGTACGTTCGCTCATACACGCCGTCCTGCACTTCACTCACTCACCCCCTCCACCAACGCCACACCCCAACAATGAGATATCCATTGAGGTGTCCCGAAGCTAACAACTACCTCCTCTAGCCTCTGTCTCTCCTCTGCAAGGCCAGCCCGCTCATTGATGAGCTCGCCCTCTACGATGTCGTGAACACCCCCGGTGTCGCGACTGATTTGTCGCACATCTCCTCCAGGGCGGTAAGTTGAGCTCTCACCCAACCGAGAACCAACGTGTTGCAAAGCATGGTTATGGAACGGACGACGACAGCGAGGACAAATTGGCTAATCTCTTATTCCCTCATGTAGAAAGTCACCGGCTTCCTCCCCGCGGACGACGGCATGAAGAAGGCCTTTACCGGCGCCGACATTATCATCATCCCCGCCGGCATCCCCCGTACGTCCCCTCTCGCTCTCTCCCCCCTCCAAATGCCCCCAACTAACCTACCCCAGGCAAGCCCGGCATGACCCGCGACCAACTTTTCAACACCAACGCCGGCATCGTCGCCTCCCTGGTCAAAGGCGTCGCGGAATTCGCCCCCACCGCTTACCTTCTGATCATCTCCAACCCGGTCAACTCCACCGTGCCCATCGCCGCTGAGGTCCTCAAGAAGGCCGGTGTCTTCAACCCCAAGAAGCTGTTCGGTGTCACCACCCTCGACGTCGTCCGCGCCGAGACCTTCGTCGCGGGTATCACCGGCGAGGCCGATCCCACCAAGCTGAACATCCCTGTCATCGGGGGGCATTCCGGTGAGACCATCGTGCCACTGTTCAGCCAGGCGACGCCGAAGTTCGAGATCGCCGGCGATGCGTTGGAGAAGTTGACGTACCGTGAGTCCCCCCCTTCCCTTCCCTCTAACACCCCAATTCCGTCCCACTAACCCACCATCCCACAGGCGTCCAATTCGGCGGTGACGAAGTCGTCAAGGCCAAGGACGGTGCCGGCTCCGCCACTCTCTCCATGGCGTACGCGGGCTTCCGGTTCGCGGAGAAGGTCATCCGCGCCGCGAAGGGCGAGACGGGGATCAAGGAGCCGACGTTCGTGTACCTGGCCGGTGTGGAGGGCGGGAAGGCGATTGCGGAGGCGACCGGGTGCGAGTACTTCTCCGTGCCGGTCGAGCTTGGGGTGAGTTGATACACCGAACATAAAGTCACCTGGTGCCACGGGTGTGGGGCTGGGAGGATGGATGGTTGGCTAACTGTTTTCTAGACCGAGGGCGCGGTGAAGGCGACGAACATCGTCGGTGATGCCAACGAGTATGAGAAGAAGCTTCTCGAGAAGTGCTATGAGGGCTTGAAGGGCAACATTGCCAAGGGCGTTGAGTTCGTCAACACCCCGCCGAAGTGAGTGTCCCCGGCTTCGATTTTCTCCCTCATCATCCTCTCCCATATATTCCCAGCTATCCTTCCAACCCCCCTCCCCTCCCTTTCAACCACCACCGCACCCCCACCATTTCTTAAAAAAGACAAACCTCTGATCACTGACCGCATTGGTCGGCAGATAGATTGTAAATGCCCTCGCCTTCCATTCGGGGTTTCCATCCGCGCCAACACCCACCTCCGATCGGTCGGCCCTAATGATTTCGATGAGACTCAAGGACGCCGCACATTTGAGAATGATGAACGAACCCCTGGAATGAACCGAGGCGCATGAGAGAGATGATGGATATTTAACGATTGCAGGGATGATGCGAGAAGGGTTTCACGGAGAGAGACATGATGAAGGTGGTCATACGTACAGCTAGCATCAATTCCTCTCTGCAATCATCATTCGTGTCGCATTCCCGCCTGACTTCACCCCTCCCATCCCGTTCACACCGCGCCATATCCGGGTCTCTAGCTACACCACCGCAGCCAGTACTGTATATCCACATTCCCACACACCATCAATATTGCCCTCGGATCCCATCCTCATGCCTTCGCACCCACCGTCCGTATCTGGAACGTCGCAGCGGGTATCTCCTGCGACTCGGCCGACACGCTCGCCGTGATGCCCATGGCCGCGAGCGCGCCGCGGATGATGCCGCCGGGGAAGACGAGGAACTACGGGGAAGGGTTAGTTGGATAGTGGGGGATGGGGTGGAGGGGAGGAGGGGAAGGGGACGTACGGCTTGGGTTTGCGCTAGCATTCCGTCGCGGCCTTTTTCCATGCTAATGCGGTGGATGGGTTTAAAGTTGTTATCTGTGAGGACGAAGATGCCCTGGATCCTTTGGTTAGATGCCTTCCATTGGACAGGGGAGGTAGAAGAAGGGGCTTGTCGGCGGCGATGGCACTCACGCGGTGGTTGGTCTTTAGGTTGTCGATCTGCTTGCGGAATATGATGCTCCAGACGTCTTTGCAGATGAACTTGATGATGTCCAATGGCTCTGTAACCCGAGGTCGGTCGCGTGAGAATCTGCGAAGGAGAGAGAGTTAGTACTATTCCAGCACCAGCCGTCAACGGCTGGTGTTCTGCGCTCCAAATCAAATCCCTCCTTCCACAACATCCCCACTCCTCGCTCATCAACTAAGAAAATCACCCACTCACCTCTCCGCAACCCCCAACCCCACCCGATACCCCAAACCCTCCAACCTCAAATACGCCGCCTCCCTCAACTCCTCCTCATCCACCCCCCCAACCGCCCCGCCAATCCCCCCCACCCCTCCCCCTGTCAACTCACCCTTCTCATCCCGTCCCCCCAACTTCCCCCCCGCCCCTCCGCCAATCCCCGTCCCCGCCGTCGTGCTCCCCGTGACGCTCGCGCTCGCCCGCCGCGCGCTCTTGGATGATGGGTGGTATTGGGCTTCTTGGAGGGCGAGCTCGGCGGAGATGCGGTAGGCCATGGGGACGAGCTCGATGAGGAGGAGGTCGAGGCAGGAGGTGTTGAGGTAGGCGGCATAGGGGTCGGTGGAGTTGTAGGGGGGGGTGGGGGCTTCGAAGGACATTTTGGAGTGGGGTGGGTGGATGGAGGGTTGATTGGTTTGTTGAGGCGGTCGGGAGGGTGGGAGGGTCTATTTGCGAGAGAATGGGTATTGTGGTTAAGGTGGGCTCCTTGGGTATTGGGGTCAGTTCGTCGTGGTGCTCAGAGATGGAGCTCTAGTGTAGGTCGGTTCGGGGCTGCGGGAGCTACTTTAAGGAACAATTCATACGAGGTCGATCGGTACGAGTTGGAGGAGGTCGAAAAGGACTTGTTGGCGTGCAATTACTCGGAATATGAGCGCAAGGTAGGTTATCGGCATATCTGAACTGTACAGAATTCCGTTGTCGATTTCAGTTGCGACGTTAAGACCTGACCGCTGCAATATTCCACGCTGTATCTGGACGCGTTTCCGGCCTATTACCTAGTCAAAAGTACGCGTATTTTATTACGGTACTAACTTCCAATGGATATGATAATACCTTAGTCAGCACAGTCCATGAAGGGTTGGGATTTCAACCTCTCAGTCTACACGTAACTTCATCCTTAACTTCATCCTCGCCTCATTCCCGTGGCGACAGGCTTATTTCATACCCCACAGATACACAGGAATTGAGGGGGTCTGGAAACGTTAATGTTTGTGGGAGTGACCATAAAGGAGGCAATCCAAGGAATGGATATGGGCAATAGGAACAGACCTGACCTTATTCCGTACTATTCCCTGGATTATTCTAGTCCTCTAATGCACGATCCTAGGATTATATTACAGGCTGAGGCCTCCTCACGATGACCACGAATGAGCCGATGGTTAAATAGATCATCATTTGAGGGTTCATCGATTATTCCAACGCGGCAGGTTCAAAGTCGCATATCTCAAATCCCCATATCCAGAACAAACGGGCAGGTGGATCAGGATATATTTCTGGCTACTCTGATATTTCGTGTTGCAATATCTCCAACATTCATTTTGAGGTCACTACTAGGTACTATCTTCGGAAAGGTCTCTTTTTTTTCAACTGTCCTTGTTTCATTATCATCATACTTAAGTCCCAGCACAAAACCGATATGAATCTCTGAGCAGACCAAAAGAGTGTATTACTAAAGAACCATCATCTGAGTCAACGTCCCAAGTTTGTCGCGCAAATAGAACTAAAAAGATGCGTCTTAGCTCTCCCAACCTGCTACTAATCAAGTCATCACACTGTTTTACGCTATTTATCTGAACTTAGCAAAGAACTCGGTTTCAAGACCTCCCTCCACAATCGATTACAGTTTCTCCCTTTTAGAAGATTTGTCTTCGTTCTGATTTTAACAATGCTCCGCTACGCTACGTAATCATACATTTCGTTAATCAAGGCTGCATCTGGGTATCTCGGAGAGACAATTTCTGAAAAATGGCTGCTCGCAAGGTTTTGGCAAACAGAAGTATTCCATGTCGACCGGCGACGAATCCAACTTTTGCTACGCTCATCCCAACTAACCGTCTTGCTTTGCTCGCATCTGAGCCTACCTAGACGCTAAAGCGACATGCGTGTTGTGGCAAACACCGTATATGTGTTTCTTTAGCTCTACACATTCCTCCATGAGATATATAGCATCCTCGAGTCGACCATGATATTCCCAGGCAATGGCAATCTTCTCCATCGTCAAAACAATGTCCGGGTGCTTTGGGCCAAATACCGTCTTGCTCATCTCCGTCAATGGTATCAACAGCTCAGCCGATTGGTCCCATCGGTGTCGATGCTGGCAGGCTACCGCCAGCTCGGCCATGCTCGATAGTGTGTCTCGATGCTCCAGTCCGAGCACACCCTTGAAATGGTCTACCACTGACAACTACACCTATTCGGCCTGGTTCAATTTGTCGGCTTGCCTCGAAAGCGTTGCTGCCAGTTTGGAATGTAGAGCTATGTATGGGGATGATCAGGCGTAAGAACCCTCTTGCTTATTTCTACCAATTGAATATTCAATTGTTCGTTCCGTACCCAAATGCCCTAATTGCGCTATACCGTCCCGAGGTCGGCCATGCTACTTAATCTCATAGGATGATCAAATCCATTCACCCTTGTGCTTGATTCCATTACTTGCCATAATTACGGCATTGTCGAAGATAACCAGCCATCTCTCGTCTGCCTCGTCCCGGCTGGACAGCCGCCGTAATATGACCTTGATTATGATTAAGTCGATCCAAGCAAATCCTTGGGCTTCGATTCGTTCTACTGGAATCTTCAGCTCCCGAGCACAGTTTTCAAAACTAGATCGCACTCGCTCCAGATTTGCAGTATCGACCCATAAACTTGGATTATACCGGTGGCTGTGGGCCTTGATATGCTGCAGTACTCCTGCCGAAGTTAATGCATACCTTTCTGCTCAATTGAAGGCGCTGCTCCTGGATGAACTCCACCATCGCTTCAGGTTAGTCGCCAGGAAATTCAGCAGAACACCGATGCGCTCCATGGACATAGGATTACTGGCGAAAATATAGTTCCGTCTGAAGATCCCAATATTTACCTTATTTGGGAGTACGACAAGTCCATGTTAAGCCTCTCCTTATCCGCTTGCTAAATCGCGGCTTTGTGTGCGACATCTTGCCTTGGCGGAGAGAGAGGAAGCAAACTCCAACAGTACTCGCGCTGAATCAGTGAACACGAACTTCGATCGGCCAATTGCAGTGAGATTCTTGCGATCCTATGCATTTCTAATACAACATCGTCTCGATTATACCCTGGCGAAGGAATCTCATCTCCTTCCAGATGACGTCGACCGGATCAAATGGTCGATATTTATCCACCACTTCCGCATCATTGAAGACGACTAGGCCGCGAAGCGCTATTATCATGGACAGCTACGCCTAACGAGGCTGAACTGGGCCGTTCGCCTTTCCCACCCTCAGCACACCTTTACGGCCTGGTTCTACCAAATTAATTACTGGTCTATCACAGCGTATATCAAGCGGGTGTCTCTCTTACACTCTTGTTCATATTTTCGAGCAAGATCCTTGCTCTTTTGTCGGCACAGGTTGTACTCTCAGTGCCGCCAGATGGACTGTGGTTTAGGGCGGCCAGTGAACCTAGCATACGGTATATGTTCCCAGCTTTTGGGTGTTCTCTATCAGTGTTCTGCAGTTGTCCGCAGTTTTCCGGGTACTGCTTCTAGGCATTCCTCTTGCTATGCTGATAGCATAGATTTCGTGGGGGTTCCGACAGTGATGTAAAAATGCACAGGCTACAAGTCATAGTATTGAATATCAAAGTCATCTAAGACTAGAAAGAAGACAGTGCAAAAGTAAAAATGGGAGGGGCGGTCTTTACAACCAGTTATGGTATTCGTCCCCTCACTAAATTTGTTTTTTTCCGCCAGGCAGCTCATTAGCCTTTAACCTCACGTAGCTTCATGCCACTTAGGGACCCCAGCTGGGTCGCCAGTCACCCTCATTGCCCAGAATCTTTCCCGTTCCCAAGTGGGCTCCTTGACTGAATCGCATGTCGAATTCATGCAGTAAGCCAAAGTTGTCAAGAAGGGAAGGTCGCCAGCGCGGCATTCTGGTGATGTGGGTCCTGGTCCATGAGAGTGGCCAGCGGAATGATCCCCAGCCGTACATGTCAGTGGAGCGCTGGAGATAGAGTTATAACAAGCGAACCCGCATTTCAGTACATACCACTCAAATCCATAGCCCGGAAAGTATGGAGACTCAAGGTGCTGAGAAATGGATCGTTGAAAGAGGGCAAGTCGACTGACGAGAAATGGTAGCTTCATGATGTTTTCCAGTGCAATACTGTTCTTGACGTAGTCAACATGAACTATCAAAATTTGAACAAGGATACAAGAGAAAGACTTGGAAAATCGGTTCGTTTATAACAATCCTCTGGGGTTAGCAAGGCTGCCTGGTGAGGGTGGTAGAGTACTTCCATTGCTGCAGGAGTGGCATGCTCCATGGTGATAAACCCAGGAAACCACATTAAATCGCATTGTGGGCGTTGAATGCGGATATTATGAGGGGATTTCTTCCCCCCATCATATAATTGGCAACTAACTAGCTCTACGCATGAAGACTGGATGGCTTCGTGAGAAACTCTCAAAGGAATCGCTCCTTGTTGAGATGTGGCGTCGATCTAGCTCAAAGGTGAGGGAACAACTGGTCTTGCGGCATTAAAGAATACAAAGAACGACTGACAAATGACGCTGGGTTCATGCTCAATGTTTGTCGAGTACAGCTTCAACACGCGTTTGAGATATGAAATGGAGAGAATCCCAATGGCTCATGACCATTTGAGGCGTCTGGTATGCCAGGGTAGCTTCAGCCAACTGTGATGAGGCGTTTCGCTGCCCAGGTCTTGTCGCGTCTGTTTCCTTGCTAGGAGCATATTTGCGCATGTTAATACGCAGCCAAGAAACCGTACTGGGGTCACAGAATATCTTGAGGACCTTGCCACTTGCAATACTCTACAATCACTCCACACGTGCGGAAATACTACGCGGCGATATCTCATTCGGTCATCTTAGCTATATATAGAGGAAGGATGGCAGTTTCGGGTTAAAACACACCGACTAGAAATATAAGCCTCAACCATGGGCGGAGGGCTACACCATTAAAGAAACGAGGAGGGGAGTTAATTTGTGAAAAAAAGGGGATTCGAGAGAACAGAAGTGGGAGATATATATAGTTATGGATAGTTATGGTTTTCATAACTAAACACACATGAGTGCAGTCGGCAGCTTGCTTGCCAACGGCGCTTCTAACCCAAGGTGTGCTGCTAAACCATGCCTTATGCTAACCGAGTTCTCTACAATAAAGATTTCCACGGAGAACTCATAAACCCGAAGGAACTCTAAAGCGAACCTGTCTTTACGTCCAGAATCGACTGCTGAAATGCGATATTCTGGTGCCATGGGGGCTGTAGATGGCTGCTGCGAATTCGCCGAATCTTGCCACCCGAGCAGTTGTCTGCTTAAGGTTGCTAGCTGCGATTGAGCTGGCTCCACATTGGATATTAATGTATGAAGTATGAACCAACTCGATTAATAATGGAAGTGTGCATGATTACGCGTATAGGCCGGCGAGTTCCGCCTCTTACGGGCGATTCTCATAGATGTATCTAGAGAGTGAAGAATCTAGGATGTTCTTAGAATGCCCTGGATTGCTGTACACCTAGGCAAGGGAAGTGGATGATAGGGAAGTTCAGTTGAAGACATAGGATCTCCCAGTTGTGTAGCTCGCAGCGGTTTAGAATTCAAAGCTTGCAATCTATAGCATTGATGGTAGTGATACAAACGCGAAATATTATTCTAGGAAGACAATTTTGTACTCTATTTTACCGCCGCATCCCTTTTGTCCTTTTCCTTGCCCAGGTGCTTCGAAAACGCCTGGCAAAATGCACTCTTACTTCGCCGCGAACTGGCTCTTCGCTCGCAACGTGGCTCCGTAGAAATAAAGGATATACACTCCAGCAGCACACCCAACGGTCAGCCCCGCCAACAACGAGACGCCGCGATCGATGCCCAGGTTATGGTACAGCGGGCTGGAGAAATGGATCGACCCCGCCGCGAGCGACGACCGGGCGAGGTCGTTCCCCGCGAACAGCGATGCGGCGTACTGGGGGTAGGAAAAGGGGAGGTACACGAAGATGCACTGGATGATGATGAGGATTCCGGCGGTGAATATTCCGACGCCGATGACGGAAACGACCCAGTGGATGGAAGGGGAGGAGGTCCACGCTGAATGTGGGAGTTAGCGGATTCTAACGGACGGATGGGAGGTGGGACTTACCGAAGATGAAAAGGCCGGCGGGAACGAGGAAAGCGGAGAAGAGCCCGGGGATTAGACGGTGTTCGGGGGCACCGAGGCCGTTCTTGAGGATTTCGGGCTCGACGAACCAGTATATGTAGGACCAGTAGACGATGAGGGCGACAAGGGTACCGATGGGGATGGAGAGGAATACAAGGCCCGTCTGGCCTTGATTGAAGCCATACATTCCCATGTATACCAGCGGAAAGGACTCGAAGAACGAGTAGTAGATACCGTAGATGAGTGCAGTGTAGACCGCAGTAAATGCAATGCTAGGGTCCAGTAGCATGAGCTGCATCGGTCGCCAAAGGCTCTCTATGACGATATCGTTCACGGTCATTTTCGCTTGGTCAATCTCGCCCTGGCTTTTCAGCCGGTTCTCTCCCGTTAGAGCGCGGATCCGATCCGCACGCCGGAAGAGGATGTTGGGGGTGGAGGTCTCGGGGAGGAAGAGGAACATGGCCAGACAGATGGGCCCTGCCAGCCAGAGTAACTCCCACTGGGTCCATCGCCAGCCCTTGACCGGGACACTGAAGCCCCCGATGATGGGACCGAGAGAAGGACCGCATGTGGCTATCAAGGACCACAAAGAAATTACATACGGCATCTTCATGAAAGAGAACATGTCTTGTAAACTGGCGCCGCCTGTCGCGAGGCAGGGAGACCCGAAAAAGCCTTGGAAGAACCGTGCGGCGATGAGTCCGGAGAAGTTGCGGGTGAGGGCAGCGGGGATGAGCATGAGGACGAAGATCAGGAAACTGACCATGTACGGCGGGTTACGACCAACGGAGGGCATCTCGCTGATTGGGGAGAATATCATGGGACCGATTCCGTAGGCGAGGACGTACATCGACAGGCCCAGTGACACTTTTTGAACGGAGACATCGAATTCTTCGATGACGCCATTGTAACTGGCCGTGAATATAGAGCTGCCCTGTAAATGAAATTAGGAATTGCACATAGCGATCTAGATATGGTCGGGTGGACCCACCATATATACTGCAAGCGTATAGAGATAGATAATACTTGCGACGAACATCTTCTTCTTGAGGCTCCAATTCTGCGGATTTGCAGGATCATCTGTCGTATACCAGTCGACGAGGATAGCCCCATCCGACGTGCGCTCCGGCACGATATCTCGGGTCGGCCCTCGCTCCATCGTGGCCTTGGTGATTTGGTGCTCCAGTTCGGCGCGTGTGTGAGATCTTCCAGGCGCTTCTCGCGTGCTCACCCTACTGAGCGAACTCTGGATCCGGCCAAGGGGCACTGAATGCTCGCCATTGAGAATTGAAGCGGTATCGGTCTTCTCGAGATCCGAATCTGTTGGAGGTTCGACTTCTTCGCTTGCTAGTTTGTCTTCAGGTTGCGGGGCCTTCTCGTTGTCGAGAGTGGACTCCGGTTCGATTGGTGTTTTAGAGGTGAACGCTGTGTCGTATGATTCTGGCAATATATAATCTGCGCGCTCTTCTGGGTATTGGAGAACTCTGTTCTTGGTAAGGTAGCGTATGATTTGCCCAATAGGGGCGTCTCTGATGAGGTCGCTCATCGTTTGTTAGTCCCTTGTGAATGTTTCGCAATCGACCAAGTTTTTTCGAGCTAGATGAAAGTGAAACTAGAAGGCAAAAAACGCAGAGACTTGATCGGGATTCGATAGAGATTGGCTGCAAGACTCTTTAAAAACGAATCGAACCTTGAAGGCCTGCTAGGGGATATATATCGCCAAATCAGGGTGCCTAACGAGAGGACAGTAGATGACCAAATAACGACAGAACTTAGACCGGCGACGAGTGTCATGATATATAGATTTTGCATGTAGTGGAACCGATATGAGATAACCGATACCTGAATAGAGCAGGAATGATTTCCAACCGTCCAACTACTCACCGAATGCGGTAGAGTACAAGGGAGAGGTTGAAGGCCCGCTTAGGAATGCCTCATCATCGTGACAATACGAGACGCTTATGAATCATACGCAGTTATTAATTGGGAGAACCAATCATAGGAAGAATAGCCAGGCATAAATGGATCCTTAATGGGCCCGAAAAAGAAAATGGGAATGCGAAACTAGATATTGCTCGATTGCTTCATATCGGGACGAATGTCGCAGGAGATTCCACGGCTTGGCGAGGATGACAAAATGCGCACTGAGGTAGGGATGTTCAGTACTCCGTACAGGTAGTTATCGTATTTGGCTGAAGGTCAATGTTTTGATATGTAAAGGAGCTAATGAGTTAATCCCGCCTCAAATCCTAAAATCCGAGCACATTTGTCCGTCGACTCCATCATGAATCAGCGGCATGGTTGAAGGATGTCCAAGGATGTCGTTATGTACTTGATGTAAGCCGGATTTTGCACCACTTCGGGGAATGACGTCATGCACCACCGGAGTTAGCGTGCGGTTGAACGGTGTTAGCGTTGTAAATCCACGACACATGGGGGCAAATTGTATTTATGGTGGACATTCGGGATTAAATAAACTGTAGACGAAGATGACAGTCATTCCGGGGGGGATTGGTGACCGACTAATAGGGTCCACAGGTGGTAAGGCTGGTGAGGCTGGAAAGTAACATTTCTTAGGCATTTGAAGGAGCTCGAAGAGCGGCGAGACCTTTATCCAACAAATAACTTTCATTTTTGCATGGCATGGTGCATGGTATCGTGGTAATCTAGCCGCGGAGGATGTTGAAGTCTTCGGGGGGGATGGAAAGGAGACGAAAAGGAGACCTCGACCGGCATCACGTGGAGAGGCTAAGTGTCACTCACGTGAGAGCACCCCTTAGTCATCTCCAATGCCTTGGCATGCACCAGCTCCAACGTCCAACTTCCCTTTTGGCGTATCATGAGCGCAATTGTACTCGTGCCATTGTTTATCCTTTTCCATTTATTCCCATTCCAGAGTTTCTTCTCAGTCGTCAAAGCTCTCTAGCACAATGAGCGCCGCAACTAAGGCGCAGTCTCAGCGGATCTTCGAGAAGCTACGCGCCAAACCGGCCAACAGGGTGAGCCCTCCTTCTGGCGATGTGGCATACATTTTGGAAGCACCAGTCACTGATCGCTGTTGTAGGTTTGCTTCGATTGCGGCACCAAAAATCCAACATGGACTTCGGTTCCCCTCGCCATTTACCTCTGTCTGGACTGCTCTGCGAATCACCGGAATCTCGGTGTGCACATCTCCTTTGTGCGGTCGACCAATCTTGATAGTAAGGATCGACAATAAGGATTGCGTCCATCCGATACTGACACCCATCTAGTATGGCAGTGGGATCAGCTGAGGCTGATGAAAGTTGGTGGGAACGAATCAGCCACGAGATACTTCCAAACTCATGGAGGCTCCGCCGCCCTTGCAAGCAAAGATTCAAAGACGAAGTACACGTCGAATACGGCGACGAAATACAAAGAGGAACTCAAACGGAGAGCAGAGGCAGATGAGAGACAGTACGTTCCATGCTTTGGATATACTATGAGATTCTAACATATCTCAGAAACCCTGGCGAAGTCGAAATCAATGACGCTGTTAATCCGAACTCCGGCACCAGCACTCCAGCCGGAGAACCCGACGACGACTTCTTCTCCTCCTGGGACAAACCCACCATCAAACGGCCTAGCAACCCGCCTTCACGAACCGGTACCCCTGTTGGAACCAGCCGCACTGCCTCTCCATATCTCAACCCCAATGCCAACGGAAACGGTGCCACTCGTCCCAAATCACCCCTTGCAACTCCTGACTCCGCCACACAATCTCCTCGCCCTCAACCCGTCACATCCGCCGCGATCCGGAAATCTACCACCACAAGCGGCACGACGACACGAAAGAGCACGGTCCTCGGCGGGAAGAAGAAGCTCGGGGCCAAGAAAATCGCCCCGAGCGAAGCTCTCGACTTCGAAGAAGCAGAGAAGAAAGCCAAGGAGGACGCCGAGCGGATCGCAAAGCTCGGCTACGATCCCGACGAGGAGACTCCCCCCATCCCGTCCAGCGCGGCGACCGCAACCCCATCAACTATCCTTAGCCCCACACCCGTAAGCCCCACCCCGACCGGCGGCTTCGGCACCACCGCCAAGCCCCGCGACCGTGCCAGCAACGATATGGACCGCCTCGGCATGGGCGTCACGCGCCTCGGCTTCGGACAAGTCGGCGCAGGCCCCTCCAGCGCCGCCGCCCCCAAGAAACCGGGCTTCGGCTTCGGCGCCGTCGCCAAGCCCAGCGCCACCACCGCGAACGACGAAACCTACGCACGCCAGAAATTCGGCGTGCAAAAGGGCATCTCGTCAGACGAGTTCTTCGGGCGCAACGCGTTCGATCCGTCGGCGCAGGCGGAGGCGAAAGGGCGGCTGCAGGGGTTCGAGGGTGCGACGAGCATCTCGTCGAACGCGTACTTCGGGCGGCCGGAAGAGGATATGGAGGAGGATGGGGAGTATGGTGACCTGGAGTCAGCAGCGAAGGATTTCGTGCGGAAGTTCGGTATGACGGCGGGGGATGACTTGGATAATTTGACGGCGTTGGTGGGTGAGGGAGCGAAGCAGTTGCAAGGTATGTATCTATAATCGTATACCGCGCTTCGCGTAGTTTGGGGATCGGGGGTGTTTTTTCGGTTCGTCTTGGCTAATCGGTCAATAGGCGCGATTAGGGACTATCTGAATGGTTAGGTAGGTCTGACGATGCACAACTCGTCTTCAATGAATGGTCGATGAATATCATGAGACGGTCCAGTGGCTCAGCTAGCAGTATGTTCAATTGCTATTCCCGGCGCGTTTCTTGCTCGGTTGGTGTCGGATAGCATTAGCAATACCTAGGAAAATGCGCATATTTTCAAAGCCACCGGTGCACCCCCTTCTGCAATTTCTCGTCTAACACCTACGTACACCCACTTTCCCCCGCGATATGGGCCGCCCTTCGCCATCGCCAGGCCCTTAACGTCTCACCTGTCTCTCACTGTCCTTGATACTTCCTCCCATCTCCTTGACTCCATTCCGAGAATCGTCTTCGTCCACTTCTCCATATTAACCCCCTCTTCCCTCCCCCTATTCTCATACACCTACGCCTTGCTCCACCCCGTCCCCACCTCCCACTTCCACCTACGTGCATCTACTCTTCCACATGGACTACCTCCTGGTCTGCGACAATACGCGCACGGATACCACATGTGCGCTGTTTTGCCCACAACTAGGCTTGATGGGGCACAGATAGTTATAAGTACGTCCAGTGACATGATCGAGCTCTTCACCAACTACCGTCGCCTCGGGGTTTCCTTTGAAGACATGTTGCCAGAGCTTTGAGGATTGCTTGTATCACAGAGATTGTTCGGTCTACTGGGTGTTGTGTGTGTATGCAGAGCTGACTGCGCCACCTAGAATATGGCCATGATTGCCTAACTTCTGTTAAGTACGGGCTTTAGCAACTCAGCTGAACCCTCATGGCGCTTTTAGCATTCATATCGAAGATAGGGGACATGGAAAGGAGAATTAATGCAGGTGATGAAGGTGAATTGTTAGGTAGCCACATGACTTGACAGGACTCCTGCAGGCACCGAACCTGAAGGCCTCCGTCCTTCCGCCACCCCGGCGGGGCCGGAAAAAGTCAGACGGTGGAAGTATGTCTTACTAACTTATCGTATTGTAAGGCCTTGGAAACTAAGCTTCACATGGATAACTACCGTATGTACGGCTCAACCGCTCGTCTCACGCAGTCTCTCTCTCAGTTCCCCTCTCCCCAAGCCACTCACCATACATCAAAGCAGATTCACGGGGAAATCGATCGTGTATTGATTTCCTAGCCCAGAGGTCAATAACTTCGAGCAAGGTGGTTCTGCGAGACGAAAGTGGTCATACAAAATGCATTCTAGAGCACCAAGATGGAAACTCACAACATCATGCTCCATCAGTGATGCATGGATAAATAGTTGAATACCGACATTCTAGAATTACTCCATCTAATTTCCTTAATACCCTTTTGCCAACTATCGTCGTTCACTCAGGGGTTCTCGTAACGCGGTCTGTGAGCCCCTACCACACGTATTCCATCGTCCTCCAGAATTATTATCACATTCCTCAGGCATAATGAACTCTGCCCAATCAGACATTCAAAATGCTGTCCCAGACGGCAACTTCTGCTGCTCCAGTAGCGGCTTCTGGTACGCCTCTCACATCCCCACAATCCACAAAACCCCACTGACCCATCACCCGGCGGCAACACCCCCGACTACTGTGGCAGCGGCTGCCAGCCCGACTACGGCGACTGGGCCAGCCCAAGCGTCTCAGCAATAGCGCGACCCCGACGGCCAGCGGGGCGTCACCTCGAACGGGCGATGTGGTCCGGGCAACAATAGCTAGATGTGTCTCCGGAACTCCACTCCCGGCCCGGGGGGGTTTTGGTTGTAGTATCGATAGCTGGTGGTAAGTAGCCATCATCTCTCTTTTTGGCTCTTCTGGCTCGCTCGTCCACTCTGGACGCGGATATAGGGAGTCCACGCACTACTGTGGACGGTACTGACCCGCGTGATCGAAACCAGCGGTTCAACCGATGTATACTGCGGCATGGGATGCCAGCCGCTCTACGGCATCTGCGGCACCAGTTTCAGCGAACCACGCGTCAAGCACCCATGGCGACGGACATTACACAACAACGATGACATTCTGCTCTAGTAGTAGCAGCGCCAGTGGCGCCCAACACATGGCGGTCCGGGAGGTCATCCGCCTTTGTTCACTGGGGCGGTGAACCTTGGCTCGCAACCAGTGACGATGAGTATGAAACAGTTTTACCTTGGCTCCAAGCGACTCAACACCTCAAGTCGATCGTGCACCGTGATACCGGCGGACCACCCCTTTGAAACTGTATCTCGAACCCACTGTATTGAACTTTGTTGCATGGTACCTACCCATCCTAATGATGCTATCCGCTTTCCCCTTCCCATGAAAACGAGTGAGACCCAAATTCGCGCAAATGCCGCCCTCCCGTGACGAAGATGTAGACGAAATCCATTCCCGTGTCCCCGCTATGGCCTCGAAAAGAAAAGATGTAAGTGGCGTAATCCATGCATGCTGTAGTTATGCTCAAGTGCTCGTTGAAAAGCCCACAGCCACTGCGGTAGCGGATTGGAGTGGATCTCCGGATACCTGCTGAAAGGTAGATATCGTGACCCGATGGCCATCGCCCGCTTTCGCGAATCCCACAGCCTTAATTCCCAAAGAGGAGATGAATCGCGTGCTCCACGCTCCCATCACAGGCCTCCAACGCATGCAGCGCCTCCGCCCTCGAGAACCCAAGCGTTATCAACTGCTGCACCGCAGTTTCGGCGAAGTTCGGTGAACTAGCCGTCGACACAGGGGTGTTGGACGACGATCCGGACGACTGTGCCGTGGCGCCGAGCACCTGGCCGTGCCCTCGGAAGTTCGTGTCGGGTGGCGCGTCGGTGGACGATTCCGGCGCGCCGACAGCCTGCGCGGACGCCGACGCCGAAACTTCCCCCGCCGGGCGCACAGCGCCGCTCTTCGCACCAATCTCCGTGCCATTCGGGCCGGGGACGGTCGGCTCGGCAGCCTCGGTCCCGAACTGCGGGATCTCGCCCTCGGGTAAGAACGGCACCTCAGTGTTCTCCAGCACGAGCATGCCGCGCTTCAGATCGATGCACGCCTGGTACCGCTTCAGCATGTCGAGGCCGAACAGCAGATCAACGTCTTTGCCTTCCATGACGGTGAAGGCGCATGGCATGACGACGTTTCCGATCTTGATCTCGGCGGAGTGCACACGGCCGAGGATGCGGGCGGTGCCGACGCCTTTCGCGATACCGGAGTAGCGGCGGTCGATGAGGCGCATGATGCCGCAGGCTTCGGCGCAGGAGGGGGACATGATTGTGGCTTGGGCGCCGGAGTCGACGAAGGCTTTGACAGGGTGGTTGTTGACGGAGGCTTGAATGTAGAGCATGGTGACGCGGGCAAAGACTGGGGAGGTTAGTTGGTCGAAACGAAGCATAGATGGATAATAGGAAGTAGGTTACCTTCAGGGTTATGTTCGTAGGCATGTTGTAAGTTCTCAATCACTCGCTCCTGTCGGATGATCTCCTCGATCTTCATCTGCGCGTCAATGTTGAACGGATCCTCATTGAGAAGCTGAAGTTGCGCCTGGCGCTCCCTTTCTCGCTCTTCCTCCTCTCCCGCCATCTGTAACCACATATCTCGGAATTGGACCGGGTCGTTGATCGCGTTGACAAGGTCGGGTCTCGCCTCGCGGATCTGCGCCAATTGCGTGGGATTTGCCAAGAGCCCTAACCGTTGCCTCTCAATCTCGTGCGCTGCCGGTTCTCTTCGTCGACGTCCTACTTGCCCCATTTGTCCACCTCCTACTCTTTGCTGCCGCTGTGCCTGGTTCGTCGCGGTCTCCGGCCCGCTTACGAGCATTGCGAGCATCTCGCCATCTTTGATCCCGGCCTGTTCGAGGGTCTTCGTATCCGGACTCAACGTCTGTCCATTATGGAAGAACTGCTGCGATGATGCGGGGAAGTTGGTCTCGGCCTGAACGGAGGCTTTCAGGTCCGCCACGGTCAGCTCTAGCGGCAGGTCGAGTGTCAAGAGATCCGAGTCCGTGGACTCATTGGGAGCTTGTATGCTTATAGTGATGCGAGGCCTGTATTAACATAGGGATTAAGGCCGACGCGGCCACCCCACTAGTCAGTATTTCTGAAGTCGCACAAGTGACGGATCTGGCGAGGGACATATCCACCGTTCCTGATGGTTGGAGGACCGGAACGGTGGGAAGGACTACTCGAACTGTTCTCGACTGAGGGGGACGAAGGAAGGGAAAACTCACATTGCGAAAGTGGCGTTCCTTGCGTTTTATGCAGGTGTTTCTGAAAAGGTGCAAGAATGTTACGCGGGAAAGCGGAGTTCGAGAACGGGGCTCGTGGCTAGTGAGACTTCGCGTGGTGGTCCGGGTTTCGCAGGATGGACCGGCGCAAGGGAGGGGATATATGCGGTAGGTTGGAAGAAGAACAATCCGGGATGACGGTGGATGTTCGCCCGTGGATCGCGTTGGAAACTGGTGGATGCAGATGGAAGTGGAAGATGGGGATGCGGCGGCCTCGAAGCCTGGTGGGTTATTAATCAAGCGGAGGGGGGAGGAATCCACGATTGAAATAGCGAAAGAGCGGACAGCGTGAGGGTTTGGCTCGCTATGGCAACAATGAGAGGATGCAGTGATGCTGGAGCGAAGGGCCTGCTACAAGCCGTGGTATGCGTGAAAGCACAACACATGCGGCGAGGGAGGACTCCAATGACGAAGCGGGATGGGATGGTACACGTAGGGATTGGAGCCTCAGCGCGGGGTGCAGCAGGGAGTTGGGGGACAGATGGATCGGATTTCCGCTTCGGGGGAGGAGAAAGGGGGAAGCTTGATTTAAATGATAAGTAGGAAACTAGGGAAGATCCTAAATTCATTAAACGTGTATATATTACCATGTGAACATGTCCAAACTCGTATCCAAATATGGCATGACGTTGACAGCCGAAGGAACTGGAGCTGCGATTTAGAGGTAGTGAACCTGAGGCTTCAAGGCGACGATGGGGTTGCCTCTTGGTGTGTCTTGTAACCTTGCGGCCTCATCCCATCTTCAGGCATCACTGTATTACATAATCTCTGCAATTGACACCTCGGGCAGCAAGCCTCCAAGGGATCCACCAGACATTCGGATTTCATATCGATGACATGCGAAGTCGACGGATTCCATTCACCTTGAAATCTTCATATTCCATGGACGGGGGACTTTCTCAGGTCAGCAATGTGAATTTGGAAAACCATCCCTATTCCATCCCTTGGTGAATCCTTTTGCACGGCCCTGCTGTCATTCCCCACTTCAATTCGTTCATTGATTAGCCCGTCCAGCTCATTGTTGATTCACTTCCCCTCCATGCCCAGCTCATTCACCTTCGTACAGCTTAGTATTACCCAAGTCAGCCTCTAGGCGGCTCAATCCTGCATATCTAGGATGCTGCGCAACAATCCAGATGATCCAGATAAGACTGTCGATGCTTCGGATCACAGTCTCACATTAGAGCATCCACCCAACACCGCACATGAGATAGGCTCTCCCCTCGAACGTGAGTCGGAAGCGGATTCGGGCGAGGATGCCGTGACCGATGACGGCGATGAAGATTTCGAAGGTAACTATTATTGGTTCCATCCTTGCATGTCCTGACTTCCCACCAAATCGTGCCCAAATCCAACCAATTCCACGCATCGTGTAGCAGCTGACCAGCATGCAGACGTCGATACCGAATCGGACCACGATGGTCACCAACGTGGTTTAAAATGCAATCTGGCTCCATGGGCATTAGCCTTGCATCCCTACGTACAAGCGTTAACTCTGTCCGACATTGAGAGCTGCGTGAAGCTGGAAGAGGCAGCCTTCCCACCGACTGAACGGTGCAGTAGAGAGAAAGTATGCCGCCCTATAAAAGTCTCCTTTCGCTCCTCCCGCCACTTCCGTACCTTTGACTCGTCTTGTCATTTTTTGAAACCTTTTTTTGAAACCGTTTTTTCGTTTCTTTTGGAATTCTTCATTCGAAGTTAGTTGCCCGAGTCTACCGCCATATCAATCAGCCCGGCATCAGGTTGTTTCACCGCATTCCCGTGGACTCTCGTCACACCATCCCTTGCCGCTTTCCATGGTCCTGCGGCGGCATTTCATATGCCAACTTGGCAGACCTAGTCGAATTCAACAGCTACACCGAAAGCAAACCCGGAGAAGAAATGGAGTGGTGTCGTTTTGGCGTTAAACGGAACTCTATAGTTTGTCCGTATTTCTTTTGATTCTGGAGTAGCGTATGGACATGGCACTGAACTGACATGGAAATGCTAGTTTGAGTACCGACTCACGAAAGCCGGAAACATTTGCTTAGGACTCTTCAGTTCCTCTACTCTGACTACCATTGACGATCCTCCAATCACCTTCGAGACATCACGACCGGCCGATTCTTTCCATCCGGCACGCACGTCCGTCCTTATTGGCCACGTAATCGCAACGAAAACCTGCAATGACACCATCCATGACGAAGACATGGCCATTGACCTCGACTGGCAACGCCGCTCCACCAGCAACGTGCCGTCGTCCCACCACCCAGGTAACGCAAATGGCACCACGCCTGTAACCGAGACCGACCACGCGACAAACCCTGCAACCGATGCATCGGGCACAAGCGAGGGCGATCAAGCTGCGGTTCCCGACCAACCAAAAGCCATCGGGCATCAAGAACTCGGTCGCACCGTCGCCATCCATAGCTTATCGATCCTACCCCAGTACCAACGTGGAAGGCTCGGGGAGATGCTTCTCGGGGCGTACTGCCAGCGCATCGAGAGCAGCGGCCTGGCGGATCGGATTGCCTTGCTTACTTACGATCGACTGGTCGACTTCTATGTGAGGCAAGGGTTTCACAATTGTGGGCCGAGTAAGGCGACATTTGGCGGGCAGGCGTGGAATGATCTGGTACGGAATCCCACCAATTTGCGTCCATCTTCTTATCAGCAATATTTCATGTTCTGTTCACCCATGCCAGTAAATTCGAACCTTGCATTCTCCTGGATGCTGACGCTATGCAGGTCAAGCCCCTCCGATCCCAAAACGACGACTCCGAAGACGAGGATGATGAAGATGAGGATGACGACCACATGTTTGAAATCGACGAAGACGGCCACCTCCGCCTTGACACTCGAAGACCGAACCAGTCGCCCTCGCAAGGGTATTCATCTAATTCCGTGGAGGTCTAGGTGCTGTTGGTAGTGGTTTGATATGACCCTGAGCGATGCAGGACATACCGTCTCAATCCCACGAGTGTCATCACATCGTAGCGGAGGGGGTTGCCGCCAGTGTCAGCAAATCCGTCCGGACAGGTATTCAGCGAGTCAAGCGATACGGACAAGTTGCTCAAGCTCCAGAACATTCGCTGGGCATTGCTCAACCACCCGATCCCTTTTAACCCCTTACGTGAATGGGTAGAGTATTCTTACCGCAGAACCGTGGATGCGCCGGTACTTTTGTGGTCATGGGAGAGTATGGTACCGATTCTCACGCGACGGATCGACGCAAAACGTTTTACGGTGGTCCTATTCAACAACGGACTAGATACTAGCATGAATATATTGGGAGATTTGGCCGTTTTACTATCGGGTGCACAGCAAACTCGAGGCATCACTGACTTGTATATATTGCTATCAATATGGTTGCATACGTGCCGTGATGAGAAGCAAATGAAAAGGTTGATTCCGTCATCCGTCTCGTTTCGTCGTTCGTTGAGGATCTTGGTCTCATTGGAATAGTAGTAGTCCAATATGATCAATCTGCTGCTATTACAGAGCATTTCGTCCATAAATGCACGCCCCAAATCCTAAAGAAGTAAATCCCCTTTTCCTGATTAGAGATTCATTCCAAAACTCCCGCAAGAAGCCAATGAAATCAACCTAAAACCATACTGCCTTCGTCCCTCCCCCAATCTACACCCACCTCCTCATCGCCACCACATTCCCCCCAATATCCGACCCCGCAAACCCCCACCACCCCCAATGCCTCAGCATACACCCCCCCACTAACCCCTTCTTCACCACCCCAGGAATCGGCGGTCAATTCCCCCACATCCCCTCCTCCCACTCCCGATCCATATGCAGCACCAAAAATACAAACACATCCGTCCACCCCGCCCGCGTCACGCTTCGCTTCCCCCACTGCTCGGACGCCCGCCCCTCACCCGCCTCCGGATCTCCCGCCCCCTCTGTCGACAGCGCCGCGATCGTCGCGATCTCCGCGTGGAAGTGTTCTTGAAACAGCGCGCGGAACGCGTCCATTTTCGCGCGGAGGGTGGCGCCCGAGAAGGACGCGGGGTAGCGTGCGGTGGTAGCAAGATAGTCCGCCATATCCACGACGCCAGCGACGAACGCCTTGTGTTCATCGCGGTCGCGTCGAAGTAGCCGGGTTTGCCGAGGAGGGACTCGACGGCGGGGAAGAGGTCGGATTCCTCGGCGTCGTGGTGGGAGATGACGAGGGCAGTCCAGGCGGTGGCGTAGCCGATGAAGGGGGCGTGGTGGGTGCGGGGGAGGGAGGGGGCTTGGTTGTAGATGCTGTTGAAGCCGCGGAGGATGGCGTTGTGGAGGAGGGCCATGTGCGAGGCACCGGTGGTGAAGATGTCGTTCTGGGTGGGGTTAGTGGACGGGAGGTGATAGGGGGTGGTTCTTAGGCAGGATGGATGGATTGGGGGATAGCATACCCTTTTCGTCTCATACTGAGGAGTATGCACAAGTGGAATGGGGGACTCGACCCACAATTTATCCACTGGGCCAGGCATGGCTTTTCGATCTTTTGGCTGGTAGTTGAAGTATATCCCGAAAATCAGCGCAATGGTGATCGGAATCCTAAAGGCGAGGAGCGAGTACCATATGACTTGGGCATTTATAGACGCAATTCAATTGGATTTTCCAAACTACTTCGACCCCAACTTCGCAGGCGTCTTCCAAGCTCTTGATTTTCAGATTAATCATCAATCCGACAGCTACACCCCATCTGCTGAAGCTTTTGATACGGGATTGGTAAGTTGGGATGCATGCAATAGGTGTCAAGTCCAGACAACGACATTTCTAGGCAACATCATTCCATGCATGCGATGCTATCAACCCCAAATGCTCATTGTTGATTCATTCTCATCAAGCCACATTCGAAACACACCTAATTTCGAGATGATATCTCGTGGTGATCAACTCACGCCATGCCTTGGAGTTCGTAATCGCGGTGCGTCTGATTGGATGAGATCTGTCAGGAGTCTCGGCTTAGACTCCAAACCATTGGCAGTGATCGAGATCTCTAAGTTTTCGAACCACATCGTTTTGTCGACATGTCCCTTGGTTCCATCCTGATTTAAGGGTGGTTTCATGGTGGCTTGGTTGATGAATACTTCTCTGTTTTTGATGGTATTGATGATCTATAGCAGCCGGATCCGCTCGTCCAGGGGTAGAGCTCTAGGGATCTGTTCGAACCCTTAATGGTTAAATTAATGTCAATTCCGTCTTAGGCAGGCCCGGCAGGTAATCAGTCAATCCGTAGTACCACCTTTATATATCACTCATCTCGCATTATAATTTACGGAACCAGAACCAAGTTTCGGCTCGCTAAGTACGGCTCGATATAATTAGAAAGAGGCAAGACCAAGCGGGAGAGGACAAACGAGAATTTTAGAAAGAGGGTAAATGGGTTCCTTCTTCGAGAGGGTAGAACAAGAAAAGATCCGGTTCCCATTCCATGCTTCTCATTCACACAACAACGTGCGCTTCCCAGAACTCTTCTTAAACATGGTGATGGCGTCTATGGAGCTGCTCATCCATGCATGGCAATGAGAAATCCACAGCTCAATGCTCACAGAAGCTGTACGAATGCTGCTGCCATCCCGCTTCGGCCGTCTTGACAAACGCACTGCGAGCCTCCATGAGCTTGATTCGGTGCTCCTTCGCTTCTTCCAACCCCATAGGTATTGTTTCTGCGTCGACGTGGAAATATTCGCGCACCATTTCCATCAGCTCCGGGGGGAGTGTCCCCGTAGATGTTGCGGGTATGTTTGCGTCCAGGCCCTTGTCTTTCATTAGAGCCACGAGCTCAGCTGGGAGCTTGGACAAGGCTGCATCGCGAGCTTCCGTCGTGTTTCCGACGATGGAGTCCAGCCACCAGTCCATTTGCTGCGGAGGGACGTTGGCAGTCGAAATGATGCGCTGAGTGGGGTCGATGAGCCAGAGTGCAATGAACCGTCGGTGACCGGGTTTAGTTGGGTCCTCCAAACGGAAAGGGGAAACTCGATGTTGGCTGTTCCCAGGGGTCAGTGGTTCGGATTTTGACAAATGAAAATTATGGGTGAAAGATGCCTACTCACAAGACGTTTGGGAACGCAAGCAATCTCCCTTGGCGCGTCTCAACATTGCCATAATTCTGCAGACAAGGGGAGCTGCTTCCACCGAGACCAGTTCCATATACCTGTTCCAACCAATGGTAGGCGTCCTGTCCTACGCTAATTTCGTCGTTCATATAGGCTGATGTCTGCATGCGGAACGAGAGGTTGCTGGCCGAGATGTTCTCGCTATCAAGGTAGTAGAGCGCCGTAGCGCAAATATGTTCGTTCATCTGCCCTTCAATCTAGGGTGAGTATCAGCAAGAATCCATTCTCCTGGGGGTTTTGATTGTGAGGCGGAACTCACATGCCATCCACCCGCTGGAAATTCAGGCTTGTCAGGCGTGAGTTCAATGGAAGCCATCTTGACAATGACTTGAAGGCCGGACTTTGCAAACTTCTCTGCAAGGCATTTTCCTGGTGCTGGCGCATAATCGACATCTTCAAACGAAGCATCGGGAATGACCGGTTTACGCAACAACTCCCACTTTTTCTGGATCTCGTCGTCCCACTCAGGATCGTATTCGTATCGTCTTCCTACTTCCCCCCAGTTTACCTCTACCTCGGCGACTTCTAGCGAATCTGATGGGTCCCAATTCTCTTCGTTCTCGTCACTGCAGTAGGTAAGTACATGACATAACCTGCTGGCTTGAACTAAAGTGGAAGGACTGCTTACTCTGGGTTGTCAGGGTATGGAAACCGGGGCTTGAGTCGTCCAGCACCGTCTCTCTTTTCATAATCGGCAGCAAGAGCGAGGCATTGGTCCCAGGCTGGAAGTGCGGTCTCAATCAGTTTCTCGATTGTGCTGTAGATCTCCGGGTACCTGTTTGGGTGGAGGTTGTTGATGTAGCTGGTAAATTTGACCGCGCCGTCCTCTTGAAAAGCAACATTCGCAGGCAGCCACTGGAATGTGTCGGACCAATACTGAGGCGGCACCTTTCCAGATCCAACACCATAACGGGATCTATCTCGCTGTGGGTCAGGGCTCCAATCATCCTTTGGGATGATGTTGCCTTTACCCGCCCATTTTGCGATAGCGTCAACAACACCAACAACTTCCTCTTTCAAACCTCTGCTGCGACCGTAGACCAAGGGATACATCGACGGGTGCACCAGATTCTGGACCATGTCGTTGGAATTGGGATGCCAGTCAGGTGCCGATGCCTGATCCTTTCTAAGCGTCTCGAAAGCCCTATATAGAGCCTCGTGTAGCTCAGACGAAACGATCTTGTCTGATTTCGCCACAGACGCGCATGCATCGAGTGTAGGGATAAGGCCTGATTTTTCGTAGTACCTGGCTTTGCTTCGGAGTTCTTCGACGCACTTTGGAGTTCAGAATCAGGGCATAGCCTAAGATATGAAGCATGGAACATACGCAATCGAAAGTATTCGTTGTCATAATGCCTTTCAAGGGCTCCACATAATCGGAAATCAGGTTGTCCCGCACACTGAGGTTGCCGTCCGCATCCCAGTATTGAGACTTGTCACTGATTGCTAGCTTGCAGAATTGCTCATCGGGAATGGCCAGCGCCTCGTCGCGCCATTTTGACACAATTTCATCATCAAAGACTTTCTTTTGCCAGTCTTCTTTGTCGGTGAGGCGATCCATGATGCTCATCATAGCGAGCTCTCGGATCGGAAGCATGTTAGAGTCGGCCCCCCAACAGCCACCATGGGCACCGATGGGATAGTGGCCATAGTTCTCTTGGGGGTCGTACCGCAATGGAAGACCGAGTCCTGGATAGTCTGACATGGCCGATAGACTGCGAATAGGCGACGTGTTTGCTAGGCTCCTTCGAGATCGTGGTCTTTGACAGACAAGGGCCGACGGCGAAAAATCGAGACGATCGAATTGGAGCGCGTCTGGGTTTTACGGAAAGAGAAGCCCAACAGCCCTCTTCTAGTTATCTGTGTTGACATACGCGCATTGTCGTGCCGTATTTATACAGTGCACGTAGACCAGGCTCGCAGCAACCCATGCTGGGTTCAGGAGTCCATTAGATATGCAATACTACGCTACCTGATCTGCTTAACGATGGGTGACTCCGTTACAGGCAGCGCTCCAGGCAGCGCTCCAATAATGAATTTGTTCAATATGAATGAGAGACGTTGGTGTGTTGTTGTGACGGGGCCAGCTGCTGGTCAGCGTCTCTGGATACTGCCTATCCGCGGCCCGCGCCCCTGGTTCGTCGCTGACTGCCTGGATCATCCTCGGTTTAGAGGACGCTACCAGATGAGTCAGCGACGTACCAGGAGCTAGGGCTCGACATCCTCATAAAGTCTTCATGAAATCTAACCCGATTTGGCCCTAGCGCTCATAAAAGGCCTCATAAATACTAGCCTAATTAGGTATAGCATTACCTAAATGTTAGTGCCTGAGGCACTAACGTAGGCATTTGGGGATCCTACCTGTTCTTATATAGCTCTTTCTAGCTGTATAAGTCTTGTAATCGACACCTTCATCGCTCAAATGACCAAACCATAACAGGAATGGACGTGTATGTATCTAGCTTCAATCTTCATGAAGGAGAAGAGCTGGATGACTCAGCATGATGACTCAGCAGTGCACGGGCCTACTACTGGTACGTTCCTTGAGCCTCATCATTAAACCATCATTTAATTTCAAATGAGCTCATTTGGATTGCCCTACCAGGAGCAGGGATAATCACCCCCGGAACATAAATCGTCTTCATTATGGATACTTGCACAGACAGCTTTTCGGCCTCATCCCACCGACCTCCCACTAACGTAGTAGAGCAATGTATCAAAATAGATTTATTATGTGTCTGGCAATCGAGAGACACGGCCGCAGAAAAAGATTGCCAGGCTACCACAGGAGGTATGTGTCAGTAGGCCGTGTGAGGGAATCCGCGAAGGGGATTCGCCAAGTCTCCCTGACAACCAACGAAACAAAACAAACCGCCATATGGATAACTATACCTCTACGGCAGACAATTAGATAGAGTTGTCTATTTCGCCAATCCTCCATACGCTGCAGCTGACGTGTCGCATTGTTATAATCCATTCTATATTCTAGACAGCGATGTTTTATAACGGGAAATGCTATTTCTGTAATGGAAGTATGGAACCCACTTGGCCTTTGACAATGTCCTCCAACTGTTTAGCCCAAAGAGAATCGATGTCCTCTACCGACTGCCGGTGGTGAACGATGTCTATGATATCCCTCCAACTACCCCGTTACTATTGTTTAATAAAGCTCCTCTAGTACCCTGGTTGGAGTCGCCATGTTCTTCTGTTTGCTTTCATTGGCACGGGTCCCTCAATCCCTACCCTTGTGGGTAGCAAACGGCCATGACGCGGCTTGACGATTGTAGACGTTTGCTTAGGGAGCATAAAATCCGTCTCGATGCACGATCCATTTTCATTTCCATCATGCGTATTTCTCTACAGTAAAAGTCTTCGTTGACTCCTGAAATAATATACTCCGCAAGGAAGTGTTCAATACAAGCGAGCAGTCAAACCTAACCACGAAACACCCGTGAGCCAGGACATCGGGTTGAAACATGTCCTCTAGGTCGTCCAGTTACTACAGATTAGTTTTTCTATCGGAATTTCATATAATTAGGGCGTTGTGGAGATATCTGTAATTGAAGTGATTTGGTTTGGCTAGGGCTGACCGCTCGCTTGTGTTGACCACTCGCTGGTGGAGTACGTAATGTTCATATACTAATAGTTCTGAGTCTTGCTGTTTCCCTCTGCGTTATGCTGTCAGTTATTTGTTTGAGTATTTGTTCCGTGCAAAGGGACTTCGAGGTCAACTCGTGACGTCTAGAAGAGATCATTCCTGTAGAAAATTATAATCGTCTTTAATTCATGGGAGAAGGAGCAGCTGCTTTATGCTGCTAATCGAAGGAGCACGAATTGAATTACTTCCCTCGACATTCAGATATAAGTGATATTCACGAGGACTAGCGTCGAGTCAAACTGATGCTCTATCACCCTTTTCGTTGTGTGGATGATCTGCTCCGGCCTGAGCCTGATGATCCTCTCTTTACGTCCTATTCTGCAGTATATTCTGCATCTTGCGTTAATGACCAACATAACCATCTATTGACCACCATGATCCTCTTGTTCTTGCTGATGAGGACGAGTTTGAAGAAGGCGCTAATAGTGAGGAGGAATAGCAGGGTAGCTGAAATGAACTCGCCAGTCAAAGAGGTATGATATAACTGGCATTCAACGACGGCTCATGCCTTCCCCCTAACACGGACCGATATGATAAGGGCTTATGGCACTCTATTCAATGCCCTTATTCATCCCGGCAAACTCCTTGCTTCAGCCCATTCTTCCTCATCTTTCTACATCTACAATACTAAACACAGTTCAGATTTGACTGAATCAGTGGAACCTCGCTGATACAACCATCCTATCCTTGTCATCATCTTTCCATGCCTACAAAACTAAACCTAACTCAGACTGGACTGGATTAGTGGGAAACTCTCTACCACACTCATCTCCTCTATACCCCCATCTACGATACTAAACTCAGATCAGCTTTAACTGAACCATCAACGGACTTCATATTTCTGCCAACCAAGAACAATTGAAATGGCAACACCCGGCAACACCTTCTTCAACGCCTTCGCAGCCAACGGCCGGGCACAACCGGCTGTCTAGCTACTTCTGGACAATATCAACGCCGCTATGGACATGCTCCACGAGCGAACCGGGTAGAAAGACTTTTATGGGCCCAACGATACTGTAGATAGCGAAGCAAGGCAACTTCACTACCTACGAAGTCGCCTGCTTCACTTTTGCCATGGAAGAGCAGGACTGTAGGGGAATTCGGCCGTTAAGTCAACCGTGAAAATGGGCCAATGTTTGCAAGCGACAGTTTGCAAATGAGCGAAGAGCAATATCGCCAGTTTAGCAACCAGACATTAACGCCTTTATCGAAGAATGGGTCATCGGTGGAATGAGTGAGCAAGAGCTTGGACATGGATATTCCGTGTCGGATTCGGGTGAAGAACTCAGGGAATGCACTCAACTCGAATTTGGACTTCTCATGCGAAGCTCTTCTTTTTCAGCATGCAATAATTTGTCTTCCACCTCTCTATGGTCTACAGCCGCCTCCATATCTCTACGGTAACCACCCACCCCCTTAACCTCCCAATGGCCCTGGGCATAGTGCAGTTCTAGATTGGATTTGACATAGTCAGATACCATATAAGGATAGTACTTTCCTGCCTGCTGACTATCTTCCTTCGTTTCTGAGTGCCCTTCGTTCTTCAAGTTCTAGCTGTTTGCGATTATTTCTACTAGACGGTAGTCGATTCCTCTTACTCGTCAATTAGTTGGGCCTTTCTTTTCCTCTCTTTCTGCTAGACCGCGGTTGGACTTCTCGCTCGACGCTGGCATGGTTAGCGCACTAGTCTACACCAGAGGCTAGCTAAGATTTAAAAACTTGCTATCAGACCGCTCAATATCTCGGATGGATCTTCTTCCACCCTTCAAAGCTGCTGATGGCAGCAATCAGATAACCATGAAGTCGTTCGCGCGGGGGAAGTACCAACACCTACTGCACAGCGGGGAGATGCGGACTAGCGGAGTGAACCCACGACGTGCTCTGCGCGCTGCTACGGCTGTATCGTCTCCTTCTCCTGTGCCGACTGTGCCCTCGAGTCCTCCCGCGCCCCCTGCACCCGCGATCGCGTCCTTGCCTCCCGCGTCCATCCCTACCTCCGATCCTGCCGGCGACGTCGTTGTACCGGAAGACAATGAGGGTGAAGATGAACCAGACACTTCTGGGTAGAAAAGGTGCAGTCTTTTGGCAGAAATTTGGGCTCTTATGTTGTCTCTAGGTTGCCTCTTGTGTGCGTCTCCCAAAGGGTGCCGATGATCTTCAACAATAATGGACCGCAGCGGTTCCGAGCCACTCCTTCTGCCCTGCGGGATAAACTCTTGATGGGGAATGAAAATATGTGGAGAGACCACCTAACAACCAGTGTGTCGTACGGAGTTGACTACAGGTACTTTCTCAACGAACGGGCTCGGATCAAGCTCGGGCTCTGGACATGTTTTTCCAGCAACTGACAACGGCAAGCACACCGTCTTGTCCCACGAATTTTTCGAATACTTACTTAGAGGATCCTATGCCGGCCGAGCAGCCGGAGGAATGATCTGCCATAGGCAAAATATTTGCGGAATACGGGGGGTGTTGAACCATTTGATGACCCCGAATTTGGATCTGAGCCTGACCCCGATCCTGAGCCAGAACAGCCGACAGAGCGTTGTGGTGTCGGACGGATCAATGACTGGGTACAATGAGAACCACATTAATCATTCGGATACCTCCAAGGAACCCGATGATATTGACGAATAAGAGCGGGATGTGCTCGACTCGCCGCCGCATGACCAAAACCTCCCTCCCATTTCGAAATTCGAACTTCATTTCCACTCTTCATCCATCACTCACTGCTTTGAACATGGCGTTCATAGGGCCTAAGTACCACTCTAGACTCAATGCCGAAGGGGTGGTAGTGCGATCCACTCCTCAGTTCAGGAGCCTTACGCGAGTTCAAAGCTAGTGTGAAAAAGGACATGGCCGAGACATCCCACAAGTGCCGAGATATGGACGAGAGGCGCGGCAATGCAGAAGCGGATCATTGATTGGACAAAAGCGCAAGAAGGATATTGACAGCGGAGATAATGAGCCTCTGGCTAAGCGAGGTGGCATGGAGGAAATCTCCAGACTCCACCACAACCAAGAGTAAGGGTATCAACGTGATTGACGAAATCCTGGATGATGAAGATATGAATAATAATCAAGATCTTGAGGAAGAGATCAGAGATCAATGCACATCAATCTAATTCTCGGATGGTGCGCACGACCAAATCTCGCCTATGGGGTAGAAGTTGGTACAGGTAACTACCGGTAGTTAATAATGTCAAACATGCAACAATTCCAATGAGTCGAGAACTTGAGATGGATGGAGTGGTGATAGAGTTATATGCTAACCGAATGGGGAAGTGCAGCGCAGCATGGACCCTCTTGTATTCCTACCCCCACGCTTCCCCCACATGCGCCACATCCCCGCTCTGCCGCTCGGGATACACGCTTTCTCTATTGTTCATGATGCCTGCCAAACTTGACTCGATTTTGAAGTTTATGGCTTTGAGCAGGAAGAGTGAACGTATATACCGTGTTTAGAATGTGATTGGGACCTTTCTGGTATGTGGTACGCTTCCGCTGTTGTCCCATTACCCCGCATATGGCACGATTCCCTGCGGTGGACCGTGGAACGCGGTTCAGCTCTCACGGGAGTCTATATACTTCCTACGTTGCCCCGAGGCTGATATATATAGGCTGTGGATAGCAAAAGAATCTCTCTTTCCTATCGTCGCCGGCCGGCTAAAGGCATAAACCAACATCCGCATTCGACGACAACCGCATTCATCGTTCCTCCGTCCCTTTGTCTCGTTTTAGCTATCGAACAACAGAGTAGCCCCTGATTTCCACCATGGTTACCTCCATTCCCCGAGTGAGATCGTCTACCCGACGCGTATCGATCGACTATACCAGATATCCCCATGCGTACCGTTATGCGTCATGGTGCGCGGCTGGATACAGTCCAACCTGCACCGACCGCCGTCCAGGGGAATCAAGCAGGTCCTCCAACTCCAAATCGACCACATATCAGGGCCATCCGACCTACCCCGCATCAAGTACTCCTCGGCTTCGACGATGCGAGACCCGGTCCTTCCATGGTTGGGGCGGAAGACGATGGCCGCCGGAAGACCATGACGCGCGATATGAAAGGCTGCGGGAGGAGATGAGTCGGCGGCGGAAGCACATGATGAAGGAACACAGTGACGCTATCGAGCAGTTGAAGAAGAGGATCCAGGAAGATCCGTATGATGCTCTGTTCGGATGGAGTAATCGTGTGCGGAGAGGCGAGAACAGACAGCCGAATTCCAAAGAGAAGGACCAGGCGCAGGCGGCTGCGGAGTTGAGGGATGGGTCGGATATGGTTGGGGAGCAGAAGGTGGAGGTGATTATTGAGCCGGGGACGATCGAGTTGAGAAGTGCGGAGTTTGAATATGACCCGATCTCGAACCGGATGGTAGCGAAGGAGGCGCAGAATCTCCAGATGGAGGTTGATGAGCCGGTATCGGAAGCAAAGAGTATCGGAACCGAGCTACCACCGGAAACCATCGACGTCGATGCTACTACGTCGAAACCGGTATTGCTAAAGGATGAGCCGCTAGCTGAAGAAGAGCTTGCGTCAAGACCGATCGAAGGGATAGTGGCGCCAATCTCCCCAGAAGAGATAAAGGCTCCAGAGAAACCCGAACCCCGACTTAACATGCCCGAGGACGATCTTGACTTTCTCCAATCCAGCGATGTCCGTGCATCCATGAGCTTGGCTAGCGAAGCCAACTACCGCAGCGATGCGGAGAGGGAACAAGAACGCCTCGAGCTAAAGGATGACTATAGAGAGTTGCAACAGACTACCACGAACGAAGAGGTTACTCGCCCGACCCTTCCCAGTGCTCCGACTGCCACCACCATTCCGCAGCCATTGGAGACCTCGCTCGACCGCGTGAACACCGACGCCGTATCTACCCAGCGCATCAAACGCTTAGATCGAATCTTGAAGCATTTGGACATCATGACCTCCGACATGTTCAGGCAGCAGAAGCACATCGATTCCATGCAGCGTGCCATGGATGGTGATCGGCCGCAAGTGACCCTCGAACAGATTGGCCTTGGAGAGCGGGGTTCGGCTGAGAAGGCGGAAGTCTCTGAAGCGGGAAAGAGAAAATCGCACAGGGCGGCACTGTTGAATACATCACTCGAGGAGGAAGTCGACCACGTCAAGGCTGCGATGGCAAAGCTTGAGCAGCGAGCGGAACTCTCTGTAAACGAGCCGTCGCAGACACCAGAGGTCGATACTCTAGATCCTAACGTAGTAACTCAACAGAAATCCGTGGTCACCGAAGATGGTATGCTCGAGAACCAGATACGGACCATATATGAGGGCGAATATGGACTCATCGCGTCCGACGAGCCACAGAAGTTGGCGGCCTCGGAATCTGCACCATTCGAGCTTGACCACGAGACGAAAGGGACCCTTCAAGACCTCGTCGGGCGAGCTTCGCAAATCGAAGCAAGGCTTGACGCCCTATTCAACGCCGTTAAACTGGTCCCAATCAGTCAGGACTCCGAAGCCGAAACAACTTCTAGCCTTGACGCCCTTGCTCAGAGAGTCTCAGCCGTGGATTCAAGGCTCGGCAGCATCATCTCCGCCATTGACCAACTGACTGCGGAGGCTGAGCACGACCAGAGCCTTGATGGCCTCGTTCAGAGAGTTTCAGCGGTAGACTCACGGATTGATGGCATCATCTCTGCTATTGACCAGTTGACGGCGGAGTCTGAGCACGAGAAGAGCCTTGATGGCATCGTTCATAGAGTTTCAGCAGTAGACTCACGGCTCGATGGCATCATCTCTGCTATTGACCAACTTCCAGCGAAGGTTGAGCAAGGAAAGGCCCCGATCTCCACCAGCCCCGACCCTCACACGAAAGCAGCCCTCGACGACATCACCGAGCGGCTCTTTCAACTCACCACCAAAATCGACACCGTCTCCTCATCCATCACCCATCTCCAATCAATCAACCACGACGCCAACAGCGACACCAACCAGCTCGCCACCCAAACCGAAGCCACCCTTCAACATCTCAACGCCCTCATCAACGATCTCGACACCCGCTTCGCCACCCTCGCCGCCACCATCTCGGAGCGTCCCTCCCAGCAAAACTCGGATCCATCCGCTGCACCGACCACTGCCACTGAGACCGCGGCCCGCCTCCAGGACTTCGTCACCCAACTCGAAGCCATGGACATCAACTTCCGGAAATTCCGCTGGCATGACCTTTCGCGCTTCGTTGAGATCCGCGAGCAGTTGATCGCGCTGAACTCGGTGGTGAACCCGGAGTCGAAAGGGGAGAGGGGGGGTCAAGGGGACAGGGGTAGGCCGTTTCGGTTGGAGGGAGGGTGGAGAATTAAGGTGTTGTTAGCGTTGATGGGGGCGGCGACGGTGGGGAATTTGGTGGTGACGAAGAGGGGGTTGGAGGGGCAGTGGAGGGGGTTGGAAGCGGAGAGGAGGTTGGCGGGGTTGGAGGAGATGGTTATGGGGAATGGGAGGGGGGCGGAGTTGGAGTTGGTACCGGTGAGACCGTCGGGGAAGGATATTGTGCGGACTGGGCAGCAGGCTGAGAGTTCGGGGGGTTCGTGGTTTTGGTCGAGATGACGTAGGATGATTGGTTGCGGATCGATGGGTTTTTATAGTGGTAGTAGTCCTTGATTTTGGTCGTTCGGGGGTTTTGTATTTGGTATGCGATATCTCCGCTACAGGAATCATCTTCTCGATATCCTTCAAATAGCCACTCTTCTCACGTATTCGATAGCCACTCCACAATGCATAGAACAACGCTCCTCCGCACGGAACCTCTTCCCCCTCTACACCCGATAAATCGCATCCAAAACCTTCACACACTCCCCCATCTCCCTCGCATCATGCACTCTCACCACATCCGCCCCACCCACCACCGCTCCCGCCACCGCTCCCGCCGTCCCCCACCCCCGCTCCTTCGCCTCCCCCACCCCCGTCAACTTCCCAATAAACCCCTTCCGACTCGCCCCCACCAACCACGGTAACCCCTCTAGCCCCGGCCATCCCCGTAGCTCCCCCAGTCGCCGCAGCAGCTCGAGATTCTGCTCGCCCGTTTTCGCGAACCCGATGCCCGGGTCGAGTATTATCCGCCAGCGGCGAATGCCGGCGGATTCCGCGGCGTGGACGCGCTCGAGCAGCTCGGACGCGACGGTGGGGATTAGGCCATGGGGGTAGTGCGTGAGGGAGTTCATCGTGTCCGGGGTACCGCGGGTGTGCGTGATGACGAAGGTCGCGCCATGCCGCGCGGTGACGTTCAGGATCTCCGGATCTAGCAACCCGCCGCTAATGTCGTTGACGATGGTGGCGCCGGCGCGAAGGGCGGCATCGGCGACGGGGGCGCGGTAGGTGTCGACGCTGATGGCGGGGACGTGGAGGGAGCGGGCGAGGGCGATGGCGGGGAGGACGCGGGCGGATTCGGCGGCGGCGGGGATGGAGGGGGCGTGTGGGCGGGAGGATTGGCCGCCGATGTCGAGGATGTGGGTGTGGGGGAGGAGGCGTGAGATGGTGGATTGGAGGGAAGCAGAGGTGTGGAAGCCGCCGTCGGAGAACGAGTCCGGAGTGAGGTTGAGGATGGTCATTATGAGGGTTTTTCGGGCGGGGTGCAGAGCAGTGATGGGAGGGAGAGACGGAGCGAGGGGGGTTAGTGTGGTTAGAGGGGGATCGGAGGGTGGTAAGCGGGTGAGATTTTCTACCACGGTGCCCACTGATCGTTCCAATGGGATATTGAATTCGGGGATGAGTCTATTGCGGTTACTTAGTATTCTTCGAGGCATTGAAAGTACTTACTCAGACATTGGTCGCAGTACAAATTCCCGTTCGAGCATCAGAGGATGTGGGATCTGGAGCCTTTCGTGTTGATACGGCATCTCTCCATATAGCAAGACATCCAAATCTATGCATCGCGGGCCTTTGTCTATGACCTTCACTCTTCCCATTGCATTTTCAATAGCTTGGAGTTTATCAAGCAATTCAATGGGTGACAATCGTGTCTCTACCTACGCGGTTTTAGTCTCTCGATATCTGACCATCTCCTTCGGGATACCTACCTCACATGCGCCATTCACAAAGTTATTCTGGTCAGACACATACATCGCCTCAGTCTCCCATAAGCTGCTCGTCCTTAGGATTTTAATCGTCCCATCTGAGTCCATCTCTTTGCATGCTTCCTCGATCATGGCAATACGGTCTCCCATATTGCTTCCGAGGGCGATATACGCTCGGACGGGTTCCCGCATACCTGCAGCGTCTAATTGCGGACTCGAATGAAAATTTTCACGCGAACCGAAGTTCTTTCCCATCTTCAACGCGGCAATATATCCACACCTCTCTTGGTGTTTGTGGACGTGTCGGAGACGACGCGCCTGTTCTTGACCAGGGATTTTTTTTGGATTCGAAATTTCCAACTCTTCAAAGGTTGCCCAAGCACGGAGTGGCCTTCTTGCATTCCCTTGTAGGATTTTAAATAGGTTGGTTTGGCCAAAGCCAGAATTGATGATCCGCCTCCTTGAAAGAGCCAACATCGGTCAGCGAAACGAACTCCGATATAGGACAGCGACGCGCTCCGGAGTGGACCGGATTCACCCCAATGGCTCCAATGATGTCAACCCTTGATGTTTTGCCCAATGCTCTTGCGTAGGAGTGCTTCCGAATGGATATATCTCTTTTCGGCCCTAATTATGCTTCCCGACCACCTGTGTTTAGACTTTAGAGACTCCAGCACTGTCCCAACGGTATTGATCTCCTGAACCACAACTAGGGTTAGTGACTTCGATTCCGAGAAACAATGGGCGTTGATCTAGTTCGGATTTATGCTAGCCATATTCAATGGCATTCGAGAAGAAGTTATTCCACGGTCAACAAAAAAGCATTGGAAGATTCAAATGTGATGGTGATGTCAACGGAAAACTGTGGGGCGTTGGTTGAGGCTCCAATTGATGACAGGGGGGAGGAGGAACGACTTCATATGGACATCGGTTGACGTTTAATACTTATACTCTAACCATACCACCACTTAAGACACTATTTCGATTTGGTATGCTTTTCTTGTTCATAAGCAGCATTAAACATAAACGGACATATATCCACGGATTCATAAACTAAACAGGAACCCCGAAAGCCCCCGAACCTCTCTCTCCGCACCAGACTTCCGACCCCCTCATGGCCTACAGATTGGTCCTCTGGCTACAGGAGAAGGCATAACAGACACCCAACTCTATATCACACCGTCGAAGACCCCAATGGTTCCTCCGGGTCCATCATCCTCACCATGCCTCGCTTCCGCATCCGCCGCCGCAAACCCCGCATCACCACCACCTTCAAATTCCTCTCCGCCGCCCTCGTCCTCATCTTCTACTTCGTCTTCATGTCCTTCAAAACCCCCACCCCACACCACAGGATGCATCTTCCGAAAGTCAAGACCCCACCGATTCAATTCGGCCACGCGGTGAAATATAGCATCTCTCCCGACCCCGAAAAGCTCCGGCGCACTCGCGACGCCATGCAGCACACCTGGTACGCATACCGCAACCATGCGTGGGGCCACGACGGTATCAAGCCCGTGAGCGGGAAGCCAGACGACTCGCGGAACGGGTGGGGCGCGTTCATCGTGGACAGCAGCACGACGCTGGCGCTGATGGACCTGTGGAGCGAGCTGAAGCTGAACATCCAACACATCCTGCGCATCGACTTCACCCAGGCGATCGGCCTCGTCGACCCGTTCGAGACCACCATCCGCTACCTCGGCGGCATGCTCTCCCTAATCGAGATGAGCGACGCCGGCCTCATCCCCGAGAAGGTCATCGACCAAGACGAGCGCGACCAGCTCCTCGCCCAGGCCGTCACCCTCGCGGAGAAGCTGGGTCCCGCGTTCGATACTCCGACGGGGCTGCCGTGGCCGCGCGTGGACTTCAAGCGGAACATCGGGACATGGGTACCGGACCCGGGCAGCGATCACGACAAGGACCATGAGAAGGACCCGAACAAGCCGCCCTCCGACCCACCGAGCATCGGCCCCGCGAGAGCGGGCACGAATATCCTCGAATACCACACGCTCAGCAAGTTGACGGGGGACGCGACGTACATCAACAACGCGACACGTGCATGGACGTCGCTAGTATGGCCGAAGAAGGAGGAGCGGATGCGGGGGCTCGTCGAGGGGCCGATCAACATCCTCACCGGCAAAGTGACGAAGCCGCACGCGAACTGGGACGGCGGCCACGACTCGTTCTACGAATACCTCCTCAAAGCCAGCCTCCTGATCCCCTCGAACCGGCACACCGCGCACTACCAAAAGCGCTTCCACCAGGCCGCCACCTCCCTCCGCGAGCACCTCACCTCCCGCTCCGCCTACGAAATCACCCCCGACATCCACCTCACGCAACATCTCTTCCTCGGCAAGCGCCTCGGCCCCCACCTCCTCAACGAGCAATCCCACCTCGCCTGCTTTGCCCCAGCCACCCTCCTCCTCGCCACCGCCCACCTCCGCCGCCCCGACCTCCGCCCCCTCGCCCGCGCCCTCCTCGAATCCTGCCACCACCTCGCTACTTCCACCCCTAGCAACCTCCCCCCCGAGCTCGCCCGCTGGATGCCCGCCACCCCGCCGTACGAAAACGCGAGCTTCGCCCCGGAGTCCTCCGCAGAGTGGGCGCAGTTGTCGAAACACGCCTTCTGGGCGCCCGACCCGGCGTACCACCTCCGTCCGGAGTACTTCGAGAGCTTGTTCGTCGCGTACCGCGTCACGGGCGAGGCGCGGTATCGCGACTGGGCATGGGAGGCGTTCGAGGCGATCGATCGGCGGTGTCGGGCGCGGTATGGGTATGCGGGGTTGGTGGATGTGATGGCGGCGGGGACGGAGACGAAGACGGGGGAGGGGAAGGGGGATGGGGAGAAAAATTCGGGGCGGATCGATCTACAGGAGAGTTGGTGGGCAGCGGAGACGGTGAAGTATGCATTTTTGATCTTTGGAAGTGGGGGGATGGGGGGGTTGGATGAGTGGGTGTTTAGTACGGAGGGACATTTGTTTCGGCGGCCGGGGTGAAGGGGTTAGGTGATTTTCTCTTGATACTCTGCATTTGGCGGAGGGATGGTGTTTTGATAGGAGGGTGTGGATAAGATAGGCATGGGGCATTGTTCCTGGATATCGGGATGGTATTGTTCATACTATGGCGTTGGGGATTACACGATACCAGTAACTACTGTTCAGACTAGCTATGTATCCAAAACTATCGTATTCTTTGCTAACATGCTTGTACGTTGCTCCCCCTGGCTGTTTTAAGCATCATACACAATTCACACAAAAATCCAACGTCAATGTCATGTTCTCAAACCCTCCAGCCAGAGGTTAAATTCATGACAAATACGCTTTTCCAGTCAACTCAACAAAGGCTAAGAGTCCGGAGTAGAGAGAATATCTCTCTTCGAGGCCTTACTATTATTCCTCACATTTGGCAAAGATAGGAAGCCGCTAATCCTATACGACCCAACCCCTGGAATATTCCACCTCCAATCATCATCAATATGATCATACAACTGACGCTCGAGGAAATCGCCCATCAATCATGCCCCCGAACCCAGGCTCGTCACTAACGGACCATCACATCGCTAACAAATACCAACGCTCAAATCTACAACTTCCCCTTGCCCACGATGTACGCGTTGCCCTTGTTCATCCAGACAACGGCGTCCTTGACCAGCTCGTCCACAATGATCTTGGCCGGCTTCTTGTCGTTGACGACGGCGGCCGCCTTGCCCATCAGGAACGGACGGACGTTGTCCAGCGTGTCGTCGTCGATGTCGTCGCCCATCGTCTCCATGTCGTACTCGACCGGGATCTTGCCGCTCTGGGTGAGCGTCTTGATCTCGGCAGCGCGGTTCTCCTCCCAGTTGGAGATGTAGGGGTTGTTGCGGACGCGGAGAGGTCGGCCCTAGAAACAAATATTAATACCTGTATTCGAAAGATTTGGGACATGAGCGAGGCACTTACGGTGAAGATAATGGTGCGAATGTTATCGTCGAACCCGGAAGTTCGGACGGCCTCCTGGTGAGCTTTCGGTGCACCCGCCTCGTCGGCAAGGATAAACCGCGTGCCAACCCAGACAGCGCTGGCGCCCAACATCAACGCAGCCGCGACCGACTGTCCGCTGAAGATCCCACCGGCGGCGATGATCTGCACGGGCTGGCCGGTCATGGGGGATTTATGGCCCTTGACAAGCTCCGCAACGGTGGGGATGAGGACGGTGGTGGGGACGTCGCCGGTGTGGCCGCCACCCTCACCACCCTGGGCGCAGATGAGGTCGACGCCGAGCTCGAGGCACTTCTTGACGTGCTTGGGGTGACCGATCATGTTCATGTAGAGGATTCCGGCCTTGTGGAGCTTCTCGACGACGTGCTTGGGGGGGACACCGACGGCGGAGACGAAGAGTCTGGCGCCGGATTCAATGGTGATGTCGATGAGTTCGTCAAGCTTGCCCTTGGTGTAGTCGTAGCTGTAGAAGGAAATTGTCAGTCTACGTTCATCGTACTTTCAATCGGTTTTGGCAACTCCATATCCGGTTGGACCACGGGAATTGCCGAATTCTAGGCTTTTCGAGGACTTACTTCGTCTTCCTGGCATTGCCACCAACCTGCGGCAACAACAAATCCACACCGAACGGAGCGTTCTTGTCATTCAAGAATCCCTTCAACTCGGCAATCTGCTCCCGCAGCATGTCGGGGGTGTAGCCGACACCTCCAATAACCCCCAGACCACCGGCATTGGTGACAGCGGCAGCGAGCTTGGGACCGGCAGCCACGTTCATACCAGCCAGCAGAACTGGATGGTTGATCTTCAAGAGATCGGTGGTGACGGTTCGGATTTGCTCTGGAGGGTATTGTTAGCGATGTCCTGTACAACTCCATGGTTCTGAAGGGATAGGTGGTATGATTGTGGTAGAATCGTGCTAGTTGATCGTATCCAAGGGGCATGTGATAACCACACTGCGGGGAAGACTGGTTCAAAGACTTACGTGGGCTGGCCATTGTGAAGGATGTGGAAGTATCGATGATACTGGTAAGGGGGAGATGGTTGATGTGAGGAGTTGTATAGGAGGAAAAGGAGATGTAGAAGACAGATAGATGTGATAGATGTGAGTATCAGATGGTAAGAGAAAGAAAAGGTGCGGAGTCTCGAGGAATTAAAAGGCCAGGGAAGGGGCCGAAATGGACAAGGAAAGGACGATGGATCAGTGCCCATACCGAGGCTCGTGTCCAGCGCGTCATTCGTGCCATTGATCCCTATCACCTTAGTCCCGCTAGTGCCGCATCTCCCCGCTCTTTCCCCATATTACCCGACAATTGCACGTGAAAGTCTCGCAAAGCTGCCAACACGTGAGGGGCAAACGCCTCCCCACAAAGCTCGCGTTGGCCACTGTGAGCCGCCGGAGTTGACAAGCGCGGCGATGTTTCATTCCGACTCGCACTACAACGCGCCTCGGCCTGGTAAACTGGTCGTATACTCCGATACGGTCGGGACGCCGAAGAGACTAATAAGTACCGTTTCCCGCGTTGATTGCGGGCTAGCTACTTTGGGGGGCGTGTGCGATGGAGATACCGAACGGCCAGATCGCGAAATGGAAGTTCCTCCGCAGGAGAGAGTGGTGCTGTGGTCGGTGAGAGGACATTCCGCCATCCTCCATAGCTTCGAAACAACCGAGAGGACAAGTCACTCAAATATCGAAGGTATGAACCGAGTCTCCGAACTTCGAAAACAGACTTGGGGAACACGTCCTTTCTTCAACATTCCAGGAAGCCATCCGTTAGCCTTGGAGCAGTCAAACGGTGATCCGGTTTCGGGGGTCTTATTCTTCTCATAAGTGGTGACATGATCGACATCTAGCCTCATCCTCGAGTTCGGTGGCTCCAAAACGCGGTAGTAAACAGAAACCCATTGTCCTCCATCGGGAGACGTAGCAAGTTGCTACAACAATACCTAGGATGGAAGCTAAAGGTTGTCGAGAGGAATGCGACAGGTAGGAATCGCCTGAAATACATTTCCTCCGACTATTACATATGATTCGGTTGAAGTCTTGGTCTTGATTGTCGTGCTGGGGCTTCTTTTGTGAACTCATGCACTTCATAGCAAGTATTCGTGGTTTCATATCCATTTTCTGTTCAATATGATAGTTGACAGGCAAGCAAGGGAACTCGATATTCACCGCGCTTTAGGATGCCGATATGCTCTCCGAGCCGCTGTGAGGGAATGCAAGATTTCACGCTCTCGTAGGAGAGAGGATTAGCTTGCAATAAAATACTCTCGTGTCGACCTCGTTCGAGGATTCGCGAGCGGAGCTGGTCGACGGAGATCAGCCCATATGGACTCAATGCGGAAATCAACCGACCAAGTCCGGCGTTTCTCAACAGCTATGGAATTTAGGAACGTCTCTCGGTGCCTTTTGTCGTGGAAGGGTTGGAAGCATGACGGAGATGAAGTCGGAGGCCCGCCGATTGGAATCCGCCACCTGTTGCTAGAATTATCGAAATCTGTGTATTCAATGCTGCCTGATCCTAAGTAGCCTACATAGAAACCTCCCCTCTACGTGAAGTCCATTTAAGAGCCTCTTCCGACAGTCCACTACTTTCGGAAAGTATTGTTTCTTGGCATGGTCCCATATGAGGTGCGCTTCTTTGTAATGTAATAGATGGACTAAAGTAACCAAGATCACGATAGATGACCCCCTTGCGGAACTCCTCATCATGGATTTTGGCCTTGCAGTCGTATTCAACCAGTCTGGCAGGTCTTTCTTACCCTTATGGTCGGGTCAATTCACGATGCCCATTACGGCTTGGTTGATCCCGTCCGAGCCAATTCCGTCGTCACAAGCCTCACGGATCATAGCCCAAGTTCCAAGGCGCCATTTAGCTACGTAGAGACCCTGTACTAGTGTTGAGTAAACTAGGTAAGTAGTTGAATATGGAAATACTTACCATTGTTCCCCTACCAAGGTCTGCAACCGCCGCTCGCTCGACGGGGCCCCTACCGCAGCTATTATCGGACACAACTCCGAAGAAAGAGGCTACCGCTTGACTAAACACCTAGACATTCCATTCTCCTTAGTTTCAGGCTTTAGCCTTCACGGTTCACCTAGAATTCGCGACATTTTTCATAGAGGAGTGGGCTAGTGAGCTGGGCACGCACGGCACGATACAAGGACCGTGACGCCATTGAGGGTGGAATCTAGTGGAATCGGCGACGACGGTCTCGAGAATGCGATATAGTACGCGCTGGCAAAAGTACTGGAAATTGTCCTTGAGACCGGTATTTTGCTCGACATCTTTCTTTTTAGATACTCGCTTGCCGGAAACGGTAGCCTGCATATTCCTCTTGATGTAAAGGAGAAATACTCCGTAGAGCAGAGGGAAGAAAATGATATAGAGGTCGAAGGTCATCACCACCACCCCAGTCTCTTCAATATCCTTCCCCGCGTCTGGCCTTCATCCATCTGACGAAGGTTGGTTCGCGACTGCTATAAATCGCTTTGTGGTATTTTCCAATCAGTTCAAAGAACCGTCATCTATTTAATATAAGGCTCTCGTTATCCAGCTCCCAACATCTACCGCGATTGTCAAACGATAGGTATTGGATGAGGGCCCGCTCTGCTCGCTGACTTCCATTGGTGTGCTTGGGTTGCTTTCATTACCGCTTGTCTTTAGGTGCTGTGTTTGGCGTATGCGCCGCGCCATGGGCTTTGATAGAGCGTGTCGAGGACTTTAGACAGGTAAATCAGTAATGGCCGGAAGACTATAATTCGTGTAAGTAGGAATATGAACGCGTTGAATCGAACTCTGCGTCCCAAGGACGATGAAAATAGAACTGAAGTTCGAGAGAGCGGTTTCTCAAGTTGCACAATCTCTACGGTGTACTGTCACTCTGTTAGCCCAGCCGACAGCCACAGCCGCTTTTGCTTTTTTTCCTTCATCAGACGGGATGACCGTGCGACAAGTCTGCATAACTATACTCTGTAAAGTGTAGTTATTAACTCCAAGAATCCTCAGTTAACTTATTCCTCGGGGTATTCCTCAGGGTTAGGACAGCATCAAAGAGTCGTTCATCATATATCTGTGGTGGATCGATTCCGGATTGTTTTTCGTTTACACTCTAAATCCAGGTATTGTCAGTGAGCATAAGACATGTTGGCAGAGGGATGTCCCACCAAGTACTGACACTTGGCAGACTTCGGCCACAAAGCCACAAGGCTCATTTTACTGAGATCCTGCACGTGACGTCCCCCCTGAACTGGATGCACTGGAGATGCTTATTCGATGTGCGAAAGTCGAGTAAAGCGCATAAGGTGTGAATAGAAAGTGGATATCTTCTCTATGAACTATGGGATGCATGTTGGTTGGACATGCTTCGAGCTGCCAACCATTGAATCCACGATTACATATCTGCATTGGTGATAGAAGAACAAGGGGTGGGAGTCGTAGCAGTGGTTCCCTAGATTCTCAAAGAGCCAGCGGGTATTTGGCTTCAATCCCTGACACTGAAGAGCTTCAATCGTAAAGTATGTTGTTAAATTGAATCCTCCACTGATTATACACCCGAGTGGTGCTGAATTCCAGCTCCTTTTTTATAGTATATGATAATTCCCCAACCCTGATCACTGAACGGTCAAAATCGCCGGGCCCGTCAAGTTCGCGCTCGAGGTGCCCATGTTGATCTCAAACTCACCAGCCTCGACCACATACTGCATCTTGATGTTCCACAGACCCAATTCCTCTACCTTCACCGGGATCTCCACTTCCAGAGACTCGCCCGCCTTGATCATCACCTTCTTGAACCCCTTGAGCACCTTGTTCGGCACAGTGATGCTGGCGATGAGATCGCTCACGTACAACTGGACCACTTCCTGACCATCCCTGCCACTGGCATTCGTCACCGTCACCTTTGCGGTCACGGTATCCCCCTTCTTCGCCGTCTCCTGCGACAGTGTGACGTTCGAGTACACAAATGTCGAATAGCTCTTGCCGTAGCCGAACTCGTACAACGGCACCGGCGTCCCCAGAACATACTGATGTCCAAACTCTAGTTCACCAGTCGTCTCATTCAGCCCTCCGGCCTCCAGCGACCGCCCACTGTTCAGATAATCATAGAAAATCGGCAAGCTCCCGACATCGGTCGGAATGCCCACGCTCAACTTTCCACTGGGGTTCACGTCCCCGAACAGCACGTCCGCCAACGCATTACCACCCTCTTCTCCAGGGTAGAACTGCTGCACCAGCGCAGCCGCCTTCTTGCTAATCCACGGCTCGGTGACCGGCTTCCCTGACGAAAACACTACAACCGTCGGCGTATCCGTCTCCAAAATCGCACGCACAAGCGCCGCCTGCGCACCCACAAGGTTCAGCGAGTTCACGTCAACGTGCTCGCCGGTCGTGGCGTTCAGACCTGCCCAGAGCTCGTTCTGGTCGCGCGACCAGGTGCCGACGACAACGACGGCGATGTCGGCGGCGCTGGCGACGGAGGCGGCGGCGGGGATGGCCGATTCGTCGTTGGACCAGCGCTCACAACCTTTGGCGTAGGTGACGGTGCCGGTGGAGGCGGATTGGATGCCGGCGAGGGGGGTGATGCCGCGGTATTGGGAGAGGTGGACAACGTAATCGCCATACTGGGGAGGGAAGGTTAGCGAAGATGCTCGGGTGGGGTCAGTGGAGGTACTTACGTTCATGAAACCGTCGGCCATGGGACCGATGACGGCGATGTTTGCGTCCTTTTTGAGAGGGAGGAGGTTGTTGTTGTTCTCAAGCAGAACGATGGACTCGGCGTCCAACTCTCGTGCAAGCTTGATATGTTCCGGTGTATGAATCAACTTTGAGGTCTTGTTTGCTGGGGCAGCGAGATATGGGTTCTCGAACAGGCCCATGGCGAACTTCGCTCGGAGGACGCGCGAGACGGCAGTGTCCACAGTCTTGATATCCAACTCCTTGGACTCGATGAGCGCAGGGATGGTCTTGAAATTGAAGGATCCGCCACCCATCTCGACGTCATTGCCGGCTGGTAGAACATACTTCGTCACGGCCTCCGAATCGATTGGGTCTGATCGGCACATCTTGAAGGCGTTGCAGAGACGGTCCGTGCCGCCAGCGTCGGACATGACGAAGTACTGGTAGCCCCATTCTTCGCGGAGGATCTATTCGAGAGCGTTGGTTCAGCACCACGAGCATATGAGAGCAGATGTTTAATGTCACTCACCTCAGTCATCAGATGATGGTCCATCACTGCCGGGATCCCATCGTATGAATCGTATGCACTCATCACCGAGTATGCACCGCCATCCATAATGGTCCTCTTGAACGGCGGCAACCACGTGGTCCGCATCTCCCGCTCACCTCCATGTACCGGCCCCGTATTCAATCCCTGTTCCGGCATGCTAAATCCGGCGAAATGCTTCACCATTGCGCTGACATTACCGGCTTGCAGCCCCTTGACATAGGAGTATCCCATCTCTCCAGATAGATGCACATCCTCGCCGAATGTCTCTTCAACACGCCCGAAGCGTAGCTCCCGAGCAAGGTCGACCACCGGAGCAAAGATCTGGTTGACGCCGAGCGCGAGCGACTCCTGCGCGATTGCGTAAGCCATCTTCTCGACGAGGTCGGGGTTGAACGAGCAAGCATATGCGATGGGGCTGTTGAAGATCGTGGCATTCTCGATCAGGAACCCGTGGATGCCTTCCGATTGCACGAAGGCTGGGATCCCGAGGGTGGTGTTGTGCAGAAGGTAATCCTGTCCCTTCTTGACGTTCTCGGCGATCCATTGCTGCGGAACGGGATAGCCGACGTAGAAGGAACCGGACTTGGAGGCCATGGAGTCGATGAGGCCGGAAACGTTGAAGGCATTGGTGGTGCTGTTCATCCAGTTGCCAACATCGCCTTGCATGAGTTGAGACACCTTGTCGGAGAGGGTCATGCGGGAAAGGAGGTCCTTGACGCGAGATTCGACATCTGCGGTAGGGTCCTTGTAAACCACACCATTCGAAGGGTTAGGTTTCCCATGGCCAGGTTGGTTCCCGTGACCACGATCATCGGCTGCCAACACTGATGAACTGGCAAGGAGAGAAAGGAGGAAGTGTCGTAGAGCCATCGTATCGACTGTGCCCCGTAGGCTTCAATTCAGACTTTGGCACTGCTCAAGAACGAGATACCATCAGCACCATCATCCTGAAGAGGTGCATCCGCCATGTTTATATCCTTTCCAAGGGCAAATTACTAGTTTCCGAGTAACCGGAGTGGAATTACACACATCAGTAATGACGTCCTGATGCCAGATGAAACCATGTACCTGCATCTTGGATTTCCTAGCTCTTCCTTCATGGAGACAATTTCATCCCGCCCTACCTCTATTCAATATCAGATCGACATATTGAAGCTCGGCGGTCCTCTGCTGACAAGGTCATGGCAGAATGTTCCTGGCCCTTTCCCCGGCATTTTTCCAATTTCCGGGACCCCAGATTGAGCCATCATTACAGCCGGCAGGGCATCGTGAACTCTTCATAACCATTTAGCCAAAAGGCAATAGCAATTTACGATGATATCGCTGGCCGGGAGATTGACATGCGATGAGATGAAATCTCTGGAAATGAGAAGGTTGAAAAAAGCGTCGAAGGTGGCGTAGTAAGACCGAACCATCCCTTGGCGCAGCGCGATGATTGAGCCGGACGAGGAAATGGCGCCCTCTCGCCTCTCAGCATCCTGGCGATGCTCGCTTGATGGGTGACCCATCCTGCGATTCATTCATTAGGATTTCATCCATGCCCCTTGTTCTTCCGCAACTCCACACTCCAACTACTAGGGATAATTTCGGGGATATTTAGGCTAAACGGGATGCACCATGCACCCCGCGACACTGTGTTTACGCTGACATGACTCCGATCTGGATGCAGCCGATGGTCAAAAATTTGATAGGATCCCATGACAATGAGGAGATGATTCGTCCCCACTTCCTCCGTTATCAACGGGCGTTGGCGCGCCATCCCCTTCCTCGGAGCTCTCTATAGCATTTTTGCCGGGACCCGCGCCGGACGCTAGATAGTAGATGAGCTGGCGCCATGGACTAGATTGCTGACGCCAGTGAGGAAGCTTAAAAGAGCTAGGATGATGGGAAGGATATTCTTCCACGGTTCCACCCCAGATCAGACGTCGGTCTAGCCACAAAAATGGGTAAATTCAAAAATGGATATGGGGCTCCATGGGGTGAGCAGAATATCGGAACCGCTACTGGCACGTGGAATGGGGATGAAATGGTTTCTCGGGAAAGACTGGAGAGTTTGGGACTCGTTGGTCTAGTCTTTATATACCTTGCGACATCCCCAAAGTTTCGCATGGCAAGCTGAACGTCTTGAGTGTGCTGGAATCTGGAGAACCTTACCAGTGCAGATCAATCCATCAGGTCGCAATCATGGGCAAGTTTTTCATGATCTCGCTCGCGATCTTCGCGGCCACAGGGTATGTATCCAACATCCACTCGAGGAGCGTCAGGTCAAACTAACGTTCCCCAGATCCTTCCTGTTCGGCTACGACAGTGGTGTCATGACCGACGTGATCCAATCTCCCCATTTCCTCACCTACTTCAACACCAGCAAGACCTCTCCCATCATTGGTGCCATCAATTCTACCTTCTCCGGTGGTGCCGTGTTTGGATCCCTCATGGGAGGGTTCACGATGGATCGGCTCGGCCGAAAATGGACAATCATGATCGGAGCTATGATCTGTTTTGTTGGTGCTATCCTGCAGGCGGCGGCCGTCCACCTCGCGATGATGTTGGTGGGTAGAATTATGGCGGGATGGGCTGTCGGGTTGATGAGCATGAGTGTACCGGTCTACCAGAGCGAGTGCGCGCATCCAAAGATTCGAGGTACGGGACACTTGAGGATGATGAGAAATCACCGACTGATTTGACTAGGTCTGGTTGTTGGTATGGCACAACAGATGATAGGAGTCGGTTTCATCGTCTCGACTTGGATCGGATACGGTGCTGCACATGTTCCGGCGACGAACGCCTTCTCATGGCGGTTTCCCCTGGCTTTCCAGACGGTGCCTTGTGTGATCCTGCTGATCGGTCTGCCGTTCTTCCCGGAATCACCGCGTCACTTGATGGAGCATGGCGAGGAAGATGAGGCAATGAGAGTGGTATGTATCCTGCGAAAGCCTCTGCCACCGAACCCAGCTGACGTTCGTCAAAGCTCAACAAGCTGCACTACGACGGGACCAATCAGGAATGGATCCAATCCGAATTCGAAGAGATCCGAAGCACTATTAGTGCCGAAAAGGCCATCACTGCTCCTGGATGGTTGGTTATGTTCAAGGTTCCTCAGTGGAGAAACCGTCTGCTTCAGGCGACACTGGTTCAAGTGTTCACTCAGATGACAGGGTATGTTCTCCCAGCGTACACTTCCCGAAGCTCCGCTAATAGCCCTAGTATCAACGTCATTGGTTATTACCAGACCATCATGTACGAATTCCTTGGCATCACTGGTCAGAGGAACTTGCTCGTAACAGGTATCTACAACTGCGTTGGACCTTTCGCCAGTAAGTCCCCTTCAGTCGGTCATTTGGAAACAATACTTACACCTTGTAGATTTGATCTTCATCGTCTTTATCCTGGACCGTCTCGGCCGACGAATTCCCCTCCTGGTCGGTACCGTCGCCATCACCATCGCCCTCATCTGCGAAGCGGCCATCAACTCCCAGATCCCCCAACCCGTCGACGGAGAAGTCATCGAGGCACATTCGGGCGACGGCAAATCGATCGCTGGCGTCTTCTTCATCTTCTGCGTCACCGTCATCTTCTCGGGGTCCTTCGGCTCCATCTCCTGGGTCTACATGAGTGAGATCATGCCCATGCAAATCCGTGGCCGCGGCAGTGCCTTCGCCACCGGAATTGGCAACTGGCTGGTTAGCACCATCTGGAGTCAAGTGTCTCCCATCGGTCTCGGTGCGATTACCTGGAAGTACTACTTCATCTTCATCGCGTTCAACATCCTGATTACATTCCCCACCATCTATTTCACATTCAAGGAGACGAAGCAGATGTCGTTGGAGGAGATCGATCTGCTGTTCGGTGGAAGGGCGCTCGGCACACTTCCAGAGGATCTGGATAAGGATGTGGTGAGGGATGGATCGGTGACGTTCGTGGCAGAGAAGGAGACTAAGTTGGAGGCGTAGTCTTGCATGCTTTAATCGATTGTTCAGTTGAAGGGGCGTCGATAGTCCGGAGGGAGTTTACCACGGTTTTGAAATCCCAAATATATTAATCCCAAAAATGGGTGTCATTTCTGAACTCCAAGTACTCTTGTATCCCGGATTCCCCCTTTTCAAGAACGGTAGACTTCTTCAGCATTTGTACCCTTCATAATTCTTGCCGACGCAGCGCCTTCTCAACTTTGAGCTACCTAAACGTCGTTGGTAACATGTTGTATAAAGATTCGAATGCTCCAGGGTGGAAACGGTTTGATCCTAGCCAGGGCAAACATCTTTGCAGGAAGTGGACTAGCATTTTCAAAACTCAAAAACGCCACCAAGTTAAGAATAGTAGATCGGGAACATAAATAAATTAGTTGTCCGGTCCCATGGTTTAGACATGAGACTGGCTCCCAAACAATGGCGACCACAGAAGACAGAAACTTTCAGGGGCTGACCTAGAGCGATGTACCTCTAGCCATATAGCATTTCTGGAAGCGATATTAAAGAATAAAACCGCAACTGCTCGGAATTAAATCCACCGATGGAATTATCTCGAGAGCCCAGCAGCAACAAACATCCTGCCAAAAAAAGGACGGCCCAACAAAAAGCAAAAGAAATGTGCACCAGCCGTGACTCGAACACGGTCCCCAAGCAGGCTTCCAATGGGAAGCTTGGATTCTACCCTTAAACTACTGGTGCTGTTCTTACTATGTTAAACTTGTATAACTAATAAACATATTTTATTTTATCAAGAACAGGAAACCCCACCATCATATTAAAACCGTCTTTCCAACTTACATCAAACAGTACTCAACCATAGGTTGCCTTTACTCCGAGCGACAACCACATCCCAATTGCAGCGCACATTCGGCCTTAATACCCACCCCTACTCGAACAAATTATCCAAACACCGCAAAATGACCTCAATCACCCACCAACCAACCATCCACACCTACCACTGCCTCTGTACCCAACTCCTCCTCGCAACCCCCCACCCCCTCCCCACCTACCCTCGGCGCGCGCCCCCCTCCCTTGACCGCGCCTACATCCTCCCTCTCTCTCCCTCCTCACCAACAACCGACCACCCCACGACATCCCTCGCCCTCCCCGACACCACACCGCAAATCATCCGCCGCGCCGACGGGTTCGAGAGGCGCTATTGGCAGCGCTGTGGGCGGTGTCGGTTGGTGGTGGGGTATTTTCTAGGTCGGGCGCAGGGGGATGCGGAAGGGGAGAGGGGGGTGGGGGCTGAGGGGCCGTGGGGGGAGGTGTTGTATGTGTTCCCGGGGGGGTTGGTGGGGACGGAAGAGATGGTGGGAGGGGGGGAGGGGGTGGTGCGGTGAAGTATGAATGGGTTTGGGAGTGAAGGGAGATGTGGATAGATGAATGGACGGAGTTCACAATTGGCGTGCTTTACAGCACAATTACGATGCAGGGGGCGAGTCCTCTAGAGGTCAGCAATCCATCACCCACGCAAAGATCGCAGCTAATATCCAGTATAGGAGTCCAAAATCGCTATATACCTAAGCAGGGATGAACCGGCTGTCCAGCCAATCCGATACTAGCTATTGTCCCGACTCCACCCGATCTATGCCTATGACGAGAAATCCGACGTGCCGTTGAGGGCACGCTCATAAGGGTATCATCCGGACGAGGGTCTCCCGTCCCCTAATGCCATGGTTCCCGGTCAGCCTATCTGACATCCCCCCATCCGTCCTTCCTTCCCCCCCTTTATTTTTTATTTTCTCTCTCTAAATCATGACTGCATGGGGAATCGGCTGGGGATCTGTTGAAAATCGTCGCTCATAATCGGTGGTTTTGTGGCTCCGTACGTCGCCATGAGATGATAAGTGTGCAGGTGGGGTTGAAGCCCATGCGCGAGGGGAATTAACTGGAGGATATGAAAATGCTGGAGCCGAGACGCCGGTGGATGCTAGGTGGAGGTGTTGAAAGAGTTGGGTTATCGGCGAGGAAGTTGATTGTATTTTGAGGGTAGGTAGGGTGGAGGAGTAGCTCTTGAATGAGCGGAGAGGGAATTCGAAGAAGTGATGGACAGGTTTAAGGGATAGATAGGGTTATAGAGAATGGATGAAAGAGAGGAGAAATGTTTAACGCACGCCGTTCGCCAGCGCCGGAGGATGGCCGTTGGGTTGCCCCTTCACATCCCCGTTGGTCAACGTGTCCGAGACGCCGTCAACCGTAGCGATTCCCTTATCGACGGCATGAATCAACTTTTCCATATCTTGAAGTCCCAGGCCGTCGAAGAGGGGGAAGATGCCCTCGGTCTTGCGGAAGTCGTTGTGGACTATGAAGTGTTAGGTACGGGCAGTGGAGGGAACGAGAGGCTGGGAGAGTGGGGGCCTACCGATATTCACCAGATAGTACGTGTCCATCATGTCCTCGATCACGTAGCGCGACTGGTTCGTGGCGGAATAGCAATTCGCCCAATCCTGTCCAAGCCGGTAGAATTCATCTTTCCACGCCAGGAAACTGACCGTCTCGACAATGGTCGGCTGCACGATTTCTTTGCCGGGGAAGACGCCCCAGGTGACCGCGTTCGGCCCATCACCCGGCGCATTCGTCTTCAGCTCCCCGGCTTTGTTGACGGCGTAGTAGGTCATGTCGGGATTCCGCTCGATGCGCGTGATCAGCTCGCTAATCATCTCCGGCGAGACAAAACTCTCGAGGTACGCTTTCTGGAAGACGTAGCCGTTCCGCGGTCCCCAGCCGTAGACAGGATGCGTCGACTTCTCACCATCGACGGGCGGCTGCGAATTGATGGTGAAGATGCCACGGGTGTTCAGGTCGACGAGTTCTCCTCGCAGAACGTCCGACTCCAGGGACAGCGGATTTTCACTCCACGGCAGATGATCGAGCTTGCCCTGCATGTACTTCACGAACAGGTTCGAGATATCCCGGATGGTGGACGGTTCGCCCCAGAGCTTGACGTTCGCCTCATTGGTGCCCTTCAGGCCGATGCCGTAGGCGTCCAGCTCGCCGAACGCGGGGGAGCGGGAGTCGCCCCAGCGGCCGTTGGGAAATTCATCCCAGTCTTGCGTGCGGACGACATAGGATCGGTTGCGATTGCGCCAGAAGATGGGGCGGACGTTTTCTTCGCGGCGTTTGAGGCCTTTGGAGGGGCGCCAGGGGAGGGGTTTCTCAAGAGGGCTCTCGAGGTCGGGAACGAGGTTGAGGTCTTCTAGGACCATGCGGGTAGCCTGGGCGAGGTTCATGGTATAGCTAGATGATGTTAGTATGATTTTGGCAGGATGAAGGGTTCCCATACAAATGCAGGTGGTTGATGCCGCCAGCCAGAAGACGTTTGCACATTTCCACAATCAACTCCCGTCCGACGTCTCGGACAGCAGCATCGTCATTCTTGACTGGCTCCAACGCCTCCATCCACGCCTTTGGTACGTTGCATTCAGTCCAATTCGCTCGGCGGATAAACGCACCGTACGTATGAATCGGCATGATTCCTGGGATAATAGGCACGGTAATGCCAGCCTCCCGGACTTTCCGTAGCCAGTCGAGGAAAATGTCGGTATCGTAAAACATCTGCGTGATCACAAAAGTGCCACCCGCATCGACCTTCTCCTTCAGATGGCGGATGAGTTCGTCCGTGTTCTTGTTGTCGTCGCACCCCTCAGAATAACCCGCCACACCGATATCGAAGTGATCCCCGTATTGGCTCCGGATGTACTTCACCAGGTCCCGCGCATATTGGAATCCGCCTTGCGATGCCACCCACTTTTCGTTCTCTCGGGGCGGGTCGCCGCGGAGGGCAAGAATGTTCGTGCATCCCGAGTTATAGGCTTCTTTTAGCGCGTCGTCGATTTTTGATTTCTCCATGTCGGTGCACGTGAGGTGCATGCATGTCTCCAGTCCATACACGGACTGAGCCACCTTGACCATCTCGCAGGTCAACCCTGAGTGTCGCCCACCAGCACCCCATGTGACGTCGATGAATGTTGGTCCAAGGTCATGCATGCGATCCATGCCTAAGAACGGTCAGTGGAATGTCGACAGTTAGCTCGTACTAAGGAACCCACGATCATAGAGATTTTGAACACCCTATCCAACATGTTAGGTACAGCGAAAATATGATCATGTACCGTGACGTACCTGTGCAGTTTTCGGCGGGAAGAATTCAAACGAAATGGACGGCCGTCCAGCCTCTTCGGCCGCCCGTAGTCTTTCGGAGATATGCATTTTGAGAAAGATCCCTCAGCGGCGCCGTCGGTCGTTCGCGGCGAAATTGGAACGTCGTATATATCAATGCTTGAGTTCTGCGAACTTTGTCAGTTCCTCCGAACTCGGCTTGAACCGCAGCAAAGTAGAACCCACCACGCCAACATATACTGAGGGAATACCGAACCCTCCACGGCCCAATGAACGTTTTCCTGCTATTCGAGATAGCGTATGCGAGCCCAGCGGTCTGCCAAATGCCGTTGCATGAACCACCGGCGCTCGAAATGTCAAACAATAGCAAGGAGGGGGGACGAAAAGGAGCGATATGCGTTAGTTGAAGTACTTAATTCATGTTACGTCTGTGGAGAGGAAAGCTTTCACGAGAATAGAGGGGCCGGCGATGGCCCAATAAGGAATCGCGCCAGTCAAACCGCACAAGAAACTCCCCGCAATCGCCTGTGGCTCTCATCAGTCATGGCGTTTTCTTGGTGTGCAACCAATTTGCCGTTCCGTGTCCGCCGCAATTCGGATGCCGTGATGCATGAACCGTTGCCAGCTCTGACATCTTCCGCGGAGTTTCGATTGTATATGCCGAATTTCCCCCATATAAAATACGATGCGGTGTGAGATTGCATTCAGCCAGGAAGTCTCTTGGATTACGCCGGTTCTTCAGTGAAGGATCCGGAGCATCCATATTGAACGAGGAATCCTCCAGGTTTTGGTGACGGATAATGAACTTGGTTGTTCTATCTTGAACATGGCTTACGGGATTGAGATCATGGATGCTTACCGTGGTTGGCACAGCCTTTCCACCAACGTCGTTGCGCTGCAGAACCATACACCGGGATCCAACTTGCATTCCCGATGCGTCGTATGCTCGTCAACTACGCAAACAAGATGACTTGTGCCTATCAGGAAGTAGATCAATCTGCATATGTGCCTATGGCAACATTCATGCAGTGAAGCAGCTTCGGGCTTGGGCTTGGGCTTGAGTTCATGCAATCTACCTCCCTTCATGTCCAATCCCCCACCACGTTTCTGCCCTCATCGCCACAGCAGTTCTAGCCATGCGGTACCTGTACATCGTTGTACGATGTTGTCATAAACCTCTTCCTTCCCTCATCTGACCGCAATACATCACCTGTCTCTGGAACGATGAGTCTCACTTCTTCCGCTTAGGTATACCTTAGGCCATATTGGACCGCATCTATTCTCATCGTGGCCTCGTCCCAGATGCTTGAGAACTGATCTCCCGGCGCGGGACGGTCGGATATTTATGGAAGTGATGCCGATGGGTCTCGGAAAGGAAGCAGTTCCCGTCCTTCATATTGGAAGAAATTTTGTGGTTAGAAATAGCCCTGTCGGCCATGTGGGAGTTCCTTCTCTTAAGTTCCAACGGGCAGTGGGCGAATAATACCATGTACCATGGGAGGACCGGATCCAATGTTGGCAGAATATATTCCGATGCACTGTGAAAATCTTTTCCTCAAATCCGCTTAATACTCCATTACCCTGGATATTTGCCATCTGGGGATATCTGGGGATCTGGGGTGTTTTCTACCTATCTTGGTCTGGGGATAAAGGCGGATGAATTGTATCGTCTCGCAGAACTGCTTTTGTCAATAGATCTCCTTGATATGACGACGATAAGATTCCGGGGTATCCGGCACCCAAGCCGTTAAATCATCCTCATCAATATTGCTCATTTCTATCGATCAACAGAACAATTGATCCTTTGGTGGTCGACCTACTCTAGCGCTGATGAGATGTTTGGCTCGACAGTCGCTCACCACGCGAAGATCGGCGGGCATCGTCCCCTATGTAGCCGTCCTCCGTGCTCGAAATAAATCAGATCGAACGACCGGATATTAGTTATTTCACTAGTTATGTATTTCCCTATTTAACGATCCAACTTCTAAGCTGACTAGCGATGACACCCAAGAACTCGCTTGGTCCCCGGCTAAAGGGTTAATGTCTAGACCCCCCACCTCCAGTCGCATTTAGCCGGGGCGGGGACGTTCCGCGTCGAGAAAACGTAGCCTCAACAGCTGAACAGCACTACGTATTGCAATTGCGGGTTCAATGGGGATTTCAAGCAAAGGGAACGCGATGGGTCTGGCGTACATAAACCAGCTCATGGCCAGGGACGTGGTAGTTCATGCTGTGTCCTCACTTAGCGAAACATTGTATGCAAATTGCCTGATTCATTCAAGATGAGGTTCCGCGATGGTACGTGATCCAATTCCTCTGTACAATCCCATTCTAACCCACCGTTCAAGGCATGTGGCTTACAGCCGCCGATAAAACAATCCAATACGCCGAAGACATCTACTCTATCAACCAATCTGGCGATGAACGGTCTCTGGAGTTACTCTGTCCGACAAAGCGCATCCGATCTCGTGGTGACACTCTCAACTGTCCCACCGTCACCATCAAGCTCGAGGCGGTTATCGATGGCGTCATCTCCGTCGAAGCAACCCATTGGGCCGGCCAACGTCGTCTCGGTCCCGACTTCGAGCTGTTCCCGGATGGCAAGCCGGAATCCGCGGCGAGCATCACCACAGGCGAGAAGGGCACGGCGTTGACCTCCGGGGGCCTCACCGCCACCGTCAGCCCGGATCCGCATGAGTTTGAGATTCGGTTCAGTGGGCATGATGGGAGGGAGGTGACAAGCCTGTTGAACAGGAGTGTTGGGTTTGCGTATACCCCCGCGACCGGGAACATGAAGGTCGTCGAGGATATGCGGAAAACGCAGCATTATATGTTCACACAGACAGAGCTCGGGGTGGGCGAGTCGGTCCATGGACTGGGAGAGAGGTTTGGAGCGTTCAATAAGGTTGGACAGCATGTTGAGGTTTGGAACGAGGATGGGTGAGTTTATGTTGACGCATGAAATACCCATGGGCGCTGACAATATCAAGTGGCACGTCCTCCGACCAAGCATACAAGAACATCTCCTTCTGGCTCAGCTCCCGCGGCTACGGTGTCTTCATCGACACTCCTGAACACATCGATCTCGAAATCGGGAGCGAACGAAGCTGCAGAGTGCAGACGGCAGTGGAGTCCCAGCGTCTCAAATGGTACCTCATATACGGGCCAACGCCCAAAGAGGTTTTGACCAAATACACCATCCTCACCGGGAAATCCGGCAAAGTCCCCGCCTGGAGCTTCGGACTTTGGCTCACCACCTCCTTCACCACCAACTACGACGAAGCCACCGTCACCGACTGGCTCAGCCAGATGCAAACCCGCAAGATCCCCCTCGAAGTTTTCCACTACGACTGCTTCTGGCTCCGCGCCTTCCACTGGTGCGACTTCGTCTTCTCCAAGGACCACTTCCCCGACCCCAAAGGCTCCATGACGCGCCTCAAGTCCTCCAAACTCGCCAACAAGGTCTGCGTCTGGATCAACCCCTACCTCGGCCAAGCCTCCCCCGTCTTCGCCGAAGCCGCCGAGAAAGGCTACCTCGTCAAGCGCCTCAACGGTGACGTCTGGCAATGGGACCTCTGGCAAGCCGGCATGGCCCTCGTTGACTTCACCAACCCGGCCGCCCGCAAATGGTACGTCTCCTGCCTCGAGCAACTCTTCGACACTGGCGTCGACTGCCTCAAGACCGACTTCGGCGAGCGCATCCCCTCGGCCGACGTCCAGTGGCACGACCCCACCGTCGACCCCAAGAAAATGCACAACTACTACTCCTTCATGTTCAACCAACTCGCCTACGAGGCCCTCCAGAACCGCTTCGGCGCCGACCAAGCCGTCCTCTTCGCCCGCTCCGCCACCGCCGGCACCCAGCGCTTTCCCCTCTGTTGGGGCGGTGACTGCGAGTCCACCGCCCCGGCCCTCGCGGAATCCATCCGCGGCGGCCTGTCCATCGGCCTGTCGGGCTTCTCCTTCTGGTCGTGCGACATCGGTGGGTTCGAGGGCAACCCCGCGCCGTGGATCTACAAGCGGTGGGTGGCGTTCGGACTGTTCTGCTCACACTCGCGTCTGCACGGGAGCAACTCGTACCGGGTGCCGTGGCTCATCGACGGAGACTCACAGGAGCCGGAGAACGCCACCGACGTGGTGCGGCATTTCGTGCGGGTGAAGCGGCGGTTGATGCCGTATTTGTTCGCGGAGGCGAAGGAGGCGGCGGAGAATGGATGGCCGATGAGCTTAAGGGCGATGGGCCTGGAGTTCCCGGAGGATCAGACGGCGTGGTTCTGTGATCGCCAGTTCATGGTAGGGAAGAGCCTGTTGGTGGCGCCGGTGTTCACCGAGGAGGGCGATGTGGAGTTCTATCTGCCCGAGGGCAAGTGGACGAGCTGGTGGGATGGCCATGTTGAGGTTGGCCCGAAGTGGGTGAAGGAGAAGCACGGGTTCCTGACGCTGCCGGTGTACGTTCGGGAGCGGTCGGTGTTGGTGCTTGGGAGTGAGGATGAGGCGGAGAAGGGAGAGGGCTTCGGGTATGACTGGGTGAAGCAGGGCGCGGAGGTGAAGTTATATCACACGCAGGCAGGAGACAGCTTCACGGTTGTTGATCGTGAAGGGAAGGATGTTGTGACGCTGGAGGTTGGCGCTGGTAACACTGTCAGCGGCCTGGACAAGATCGAAGGAACGTGGTCTTCGACCGTTGCAGTTAGATGAGCGACAATAGGTTATGAATTACAATAGACTTTTCATTTATACATTTCAAACACTATTCACTCATAGTGATGAATGAGTTCACCCAACCTGTACAATATAATATGCCCATACAAGCATACAGTTGTCCAACACCTTCACTGCTTCTTCGCCTCCCTCTCCCTCTTCCTCAGCGCCCTCTTCCTCACCGCCTCATGCATCGTCTTATTCTGCGCCAACACCACCCCACTCCTCGCCCCTACCAAAGTCTCAATCCCCCACTGCATCACCGCATGGCTCCAATATGGCGTCATCTGATACGCCGACCCCTGGCTCCCCCCTGCCCTCCCGATGCTCCGCAACGTCGCGCGCACAAACGTCCGCGTGCTCGGCACCATCATCGTCGTCCGCCGCAGCTTCGACATCGCGCTCACCACCAGGTGGCTCTGCACGCACTGCACCGTCACGCCGGCCGGGGCCAGCTCGGCGCCCAGCGCGGCCGACCACGCTTGAAGGAACGCTTTGCTACCGGAGTAGGTGGCGAGGAGCGGGGTGGGGAAGACGCCGGCGAACGACGCCATGGTGAGGATGAGGCCGCGTTTGCGCTGGACCATGGCAGGGGTGAGGGCCTGGGTGACGCGGAGGGTGGCGTGGCAGTTGATGTTGATGATGTTCTCTAGTTCGTCGCGATCGGTCTCAATGAAGGGGACGGGGATGGAGTGGGATTGGCCGACATTGTTGACGAGGATGGCGACGTCGAGGGGAGCGGCTTGGGCGGCGAGTGCGCGGTAGTCGGCGTCGGTGGCAGCCGAGAAGTCGATGGCGAGAGTAGCGGTTTGGACATTATAGGTGCGAGCGATGTCGGTGGCCAGGTCGTCGAGCTTGGATTTGGTACGAGAGACGAGGAAGACGTTGAAGCCGGCTTTGGCGAGCTGGTTGGCGAATTCTTTGCCGATGCCGTCGGAGGCTCCGGTGATAACTGCCCAGCTGCCTTTGGGTCCGAACGTTCGTAGCTGGAGGTGGTGTTAGCTCATGATGCGTTTCAGAGACCTTTAGAGCTACTCACGGAAGTTCCTGGGAGGATAAACAGGTCACCTAGCAGGCGAAGGTAGCTCAGAATCTTCGCGGAGATGTACACGAGCCCAATGACCGCGAAGACCTGGATTGCCGGACTCGACGCATACTCAATGAAATCCATTGTCGTTGTATGGTGTCCCGTGTCGGTGACTTGCGATGCTGATGTGAGGATTCCCGTCTATAGTGGGATGATTAATTGTTTTAGGCTTTAGCCGGTAAGGGGAAAAGGTGCAAAGCGAGATAGAGTTCTGATGAGATGATCGACGCCGGGTTCCAACCAGGCATAGGACCAGGATGTCGGCATGATATTCTCATTCCTCCATGCCTGAATCTAACATCGCCATAGTTCTTATTATTTAAGCCTCTCGTTTATGTCCAATCTTCGGTTTCCATTGACTCAATTCGACTCGATTGAGATTACTTCTCCGAACGCGTATATATTGTTGATCAATCTCATCCTGCCGACAGCTTGAGTCCAGCATATCACCATGGACGCCATCACAGCCTATCTCCCGCAACACGCTGGTTTTCTTCCGAAGTGGCTCTTTTTCGTAAATACTCAATGATCACTCTATTCGTTTTTAGACTACAGTACAACTAACCATACAATCACCACCTCAGACCGGCATCATCTCCATCGGCAACAGCATCCAAGCCTACTCCACCCTCGAATTCACCAAACGAGTCTACAACGGCGCTCCCACAGCCGATGGCAAAGACACCGACAAGAAGCTCTCCGCCGCCAGCCCCGTCACCCCACTCGCCGCGCACCTCTTCGCCACATGGACCTTCACCTCCGCCATGGTCCGTCTCATCGCAGCGTACCACATCACCACCCCGCCGATCTTCTGGCTAGCGTTCGTGACATATACCATTGCATTTTCGCACTTCGGCGCGGAGTGGCTCATTTATGGGAACACCAAATTGGGGGCGGGATTGGCGGGGCCGCTGGTGGTGAGCACGAGTACGATCGCTTGGATGTTGTTGACCTGGCAGGAGTATTTGGGCTAGCTAGGTCGGGGGGTTAGACTGGTTGATACAGTTATTGGGAGTCGAGACTTGTTCGATACAGTTCGCCGCCACAAGCTCGGAGTCGTGCCGCGGCCTGCTCGGGTGTGATATCGCGTTGGGGCTCGGCGAGCAGTTCGTAGCTAGAGGTTGTTAGCGAAAATCAACGGAATATGCTGGAAGTTGCCATACCCAACCAAGAATTTCCGAACCGTGGCGCTGCGCAGTAACGGTGGGTAGAAATGGATGTGGAAATAGCTCGCGTCAATCTCCTCCTTCGTCCCCGTCAACGGCGCCTGATGGATTCCCATGCCTACGAACGATTAGCCACTCATCCAGAAACCCAAGATCATCTCCACTCACTATACGGAAACTGCGTCTCAAACAAATTATCATACCGCCTCACCACCTCTGCAATGCACTCCGCCAACTCCACCCGCTCCCCCTCGCTGAAATCCACCAACGCACGCTTATGCTCCTTCGCCACGATCATCACCTCGAACGGCCACACCGCCCACCACGGACACACGGCCAAAAACCCGCCATTCTCAAACACTACCCGCTCCCCCTTTTCCGCCTCCAGCGCCGCATAGTCCCCCAACAAATGCACTCCCCCCTGCTCCCGCCGATACCGCTGCATCTGCTCCAACTCTGCCGCCGGCTCCTCCGGGAGCGAGTCGGTCGTCCACACCTGCCCGTGCGGATGCGGGTTCGAGCAGCCCATCGCCGCGCCCTTGTTCTCGAAGATCTGCATCCAGCGGTATTGCTTCTGCGGTGCGCTGGTCGTGGCCGGACGGTGGCTAGTGGGCGGCACGGTGGTGGAGGTGGAGTGCGCGGCGAGCGGGGACGTCGGGTCCAGGTGCGCGGTGTAGATGTCTGTCCAGGCGTGGATGATGGGGAGGATTTGCGCGGGGGTCATGTCGGCGAGGGTGAGGCGGTGGGAGCGGGAGAAGGTGAGGACATAGCATTTGCCTGTGACGGGTTCGGCGCGGAGGAGGCGGTTTGCCGGCGCTGGGGGTGTCAGTCCGTGGGTTCGGGATTGGGTAGATGCGAGAATGCTCACTCCCGTCTTGGTCGGGCGCGTGGTACTCAGCTTGCACCTCCTTCACGGCGCTATAATCATTGACGAAGACGAAGGTGTTTTCATACGCCGGGTTCACGTCGCCTGATGCGCGCTTGTTTCCAGGACAGAGGTAGCACTGCGCATGGTGTCAAAATTCTGTCCAACTTCTCGAGCACTAGAGCATACTTCGGGATCATGTTCCGGCAGGGTAGTCTTCGATGCCGACTCCTGCTGGCCTCTGTTGCCGTCGTTAGAAGCAGGCCGAGCCAAATGGTGCTGTGCCAACTTACTGCCATGGTCGCTTTGTCCGATGAGGGGAAACCAGTACCCAGCATCCTTTGAGCGGATTGTATCGGCGGTGCGATATTTCGTCCAAAATTTGGTCCGGCATTTCTTACTGCGTGGCTTTTGAACTGATCTCCTTGTTCTATTGTACAATATGGTATCGCCAACCTCAAGCGTTTTGGTTAAGGTAGGAATGGTTGTGGTAGAAATTTTGATTCAAGAAAGATTAGATTACATCATAGGACAAGGGTTTGGTTGCATTAAGAAACTTTTCGTTTCCTATTTTAGCCTAGCATGTTATATACAACGTTCAGGAGCGTCGGGGGATTTCATTCCGATTCAAACCTTTTTATCGCATCGCTACTTAACAACTTAACTACCCACTAGTTACACATACCGCACACAACATCAGATACACGTCCAGTTAACTTTCACCAACTTATAATACGATTGTAAACCTTAGATCTCCAATAACATGGACATAGACATGGACCGTGGAGTGCAATAGTCCGCGCCGTTTTGGATACGAGCATCCAAACTCCCATCCACTCGAATCGAAACCGAGAACAATAGCAATATAATCCTCCAGCACCTTGTCACTATTGTCACCATTGTCACCATTGTCACCATTGTCACTGACTACCATGTCCCGATTCCTTCGGCTTCTTTCGATGCGCTGTGGGATCCGATATATGTACAGCTCTCACCTGTTACGCATGCAACCTCGTGCCCTTATGTCTTTCGCGCCCAAAAAAGAAGACAATATGTTCTTCATTCTCTCGGTTGATTTCTCGCTACGGTCATACCACTCGCAACTTGTCTTCTGTGACGTCCGAAGAGAAGCTCGAACGCTACTGTGCTGATAACTCCCACTTCATATTCCTTCATCTTCGGAATACTTCTCAATTCATCGTATATAGCTACCTGGAACGACAACCACTTGTCCGAGTGGACCTAACTACCGTCTCTTCGTGCCCCTAAAGTTTTTCTTGGTGCTCCATGGGACGGCAGTGTTGATTTGTGGGGCTTCGCTCGCGTGGTACGTCTCCTGACCTTTCCTTTCCTCGTCTACGGTACTCATAAGGAGCAGATATACGAACTCCTTCAGGGCAGAGTGTTGTTCCGAGGTAGTCCTAGTCCGAAAGGCACCTAGACCGCCGAAGAAGACCAAATAGTTCAAATGATTGAGCTGCTCGGTCCTATCCCTACGTCTATCTGCGTGTCTCAAGCTCACAGCCTTCCACTGCTTCTAACCTTGATTTCCAGGTAATTTGTTACACATCAAGCAGTTTGCCTCGTTCTCACCGCGAGATCTTCTTACGCATACTACAAACCCCTCTATATCGGTAAATGACTACGAACAGTTTAAGGCATTTCTACGAGCTATGCTGCAGTATGAGCCGAGTGAGAGGAAGTTGCCGAAGGAGCTGTTGAAAGAACCATAGCTGTCCAACGAATGTTCATAATTCGGTACGTAAACTGGAACATCTGATCCTGATGTCGGTCCGTCCCTTGGTTCAGCCACGTATTGTATAATATAATAATCCATCCTCCATCAGCAACGACTGTAACTCTAATCGTCAAGGATGAGTAGAGCGCAGAGAGTCACCTCATCATCAATTAATATCGTGTTCATAATTACAATTAGCCCATCGTCCCTCGCCACGGCCGAACCAAACTACGCTAGTATCTTGGTCGCCTCTGTGCCGAAATTTGGAGACCTCCGGGGTGGATAAAATTGAATCGCGTTTCTTGGCAGTTTTCTACACATCACCACCCTCCACCGAAGACAGTCTGTGTAGGCACCTTGCATGCAGTCAATTCGCTCAAAAACAGCATAATATTGAAATTAGTATATATTCCTTAATTAGCCAATTACCATAGATCTGTTTTGATGAACTCTCCGCCGCGCTCAACGAGCATCTGGCAGCGCAGCGGCATCTCTGCCATTCGCGCCCGAATCTCCTCCATCGTGATCTTTTCCCACTCCTCAATCAAGATCTGTTTGAGCTCGTCCAATGACTCCCATAACCTGCATTTTATACGCTGTTTAATGAAACCCCAAATTGCCTCAATTAGGTTGAGATCGGGGGATTGCGCTGGGTGCTTCAATCGATGATAGAAGATTGTACAGAGAGTTGGGGTAGATCGAATGCCAAGAAATGCGATTCAATTTTATCCCCCCCGGAGGAGAGCTCAAATCAGGCCAACTGTGGTTGACAATAGCACAAATTGGAGTGCGAAGTCGCCTGTCATACCCGAGGACGACTTGATGAGGGTCTTTATGCTTTCCACGGTGGGGGAAAATGACTGCGGTCGGTCAAGTGACGGTACTCGGGATACGGATCCGATTTGTGTGAGATAAATAGCGGTTTCGCTCAATCAGGTGATTAATGCAGCGAAACGGTGGGAAAACCCCGTTAGATTCCAAAAGAGCGTAGATAGATTGAATTTGATCCTAAAGAGCCGGATCCTACGAAAACAGGCTGTTCTTGCAGCTATTTTATATGGTTTACAATGGTGATCTTTTCCCTAAAAAGGGAAAGAATAGGGATAGAATCGAATATGGATACGGAATGAAGCCGTGGGGAAACGCCAAGAAACACAGATATTCTGTGACAATTTGTACGGTGGTCCCATAGATTTGGCGGCCACAGTTTGTCAACCCGGGCGATCAATGGTTTCCTGGTCCGTATGCTAAAGCACTATACGAGGGGATGGATGTATCTATCGGGTAAAACGAGGTTCTAACGCACGTATACCATCCTCGATTTCCACTCAATTCGGTCCCGAGAAAACTTGGGTGTTTGCCTGGGGAATATCCGTGTCACAGGAAAATTACCTTAGCTATATCTGCCCTTCTACTAGCTTCCTAGTAGGGGCGTCCCTTTTTGGGGATTTAGCTTAGTTGGTTACATTTGACAATCCGCGCGTATTGCGCGGGACCATTCCCGGATCCCAATAACCTAAGATGGATGTACATGGGTGTAGGTGCGAGAAAGACACCGAGATTAACAATAAAGCAGCTGGAATCATCGGCGAACGGGGTACCCTGGAGTTCTAAGTATAATCCTATACTGGTGATCGAAACGGGCAACTTGGTTAGGAAAGCCAAGGCGTGGGACTGCGAGAACGCGAGTGAGCAGTGTGCAAACTCCTTCGGAGAGCGTGCGAGAAGTCCTCGGTAAGTGTACTCTGTGGCGCTTGGGTCATCCCAAGCAAAAATGGAGTAAGTTCAACCCCCTGCTTCCTGCGCAACCCCCAAGCTGCGCAGTTCCACCAATTCGCTCAAGAGCAGCATCTTTTATACTACCTACATTGAAAACGCGTTCAATCTACCAAAACCGTGTACTTTTTAAAATTAATTCCATTTCCTAATATGGCAACTCATGATGAACGAATATCAGGTGCTTTACACGCAATTTCTAGTGGCGAGACCAACTCCATCAGAGATACAGCCAGACTGTTTGAAGTTAACGAATCTACCCTCCGCCTTCGCCTTTCCGGCTCAAAATCTCGGTCTATCGCCCAACAGGATGCCCAACGCCTTACACCGGCTCAGGAGGCCTTTCTGACCGATTGGATCTTGGATTCAGATGCACAAGGATTTGCACCAACCCACGCACGCGTGCGGGAAATGACATCGCGAATCCTCGACCTACAGACCGAAGAAACCCCCCTCGGCAAGAATTGGGTTACCGGTTTCCTCCGCCGTAACCCACGCGTTAAACCTTGCTTAGGCAAGAAGCTCGATGCTGTACGACATAAGGCTTCAACGGAAGAGGTGATCACGCGGTTTTACGAGCACTTTCGTACGGTGGTAGCCGACCATGACGTTTCCGCAGACGATACATACAATATGGATGAGGTTGGGGTCGGAATTGGTATAGGAGCGAATTCTATTGTGATCGCAGACTCACAGAAGTCCGTTACGACATTGGTGGGACAGGAGACGCGTGAATGGATATCAATTGTTGAGACAGTCTCTGCGACTGGGCGGGCGCTGAACCCGGCCGTGATCCAGAAAGGCGCTTCCCTCCAGAGCTCCTGGTTTCCGGAAAACGCGCCAAATTGGTATTACGACGTGTCGCCGAACGGATGGACCTCGAATGAGATCGCTGTAAAGTGGTTGCGCGAGGTATTCCTCAAGGAAACCGCGACGAATCGCCAATACCGGATATTGGTACTCGACGGGCATGGGAGCCACGCGACGATCGATTTTCTGTATTTATGCAGGATTAGCAAGGTGGTGGTAGTCTTCCTACCTCCTCATACCTCCCATATCCTTCAACCGCTGGATCTTGCCTGTTTTTCACCGCTGAAACGATTCTACAAGGCTCTTCTTCGAAATGCAGCTTATATCGATAACGCGATACCGATTAAGCGCAGGAAATTCATCGTATTATACGCAAAAGCCCGTGACAATAGGCTCTCTCCTCGTACGATTCGCTCAGGATGGAAAGCTGCAGGTCTCGTCCCATTTAACGTGGAGAAGGGCCTCCAGAACCGGTTCGTTAACCGGTCGGTCCTACCACCGCCGCCATCACCCTTATCACCCACATCACCGACCCCACGGCCTACCGGGACGCGTCAGACGATACTTTTCTCTACGCCCGTCAAGCCTAAACAGGTTTACAGTACCTTAAAGGCAATGTCGGGCAATAATCGCGTGGGCAAAGGCACGCAGAGGATTCTCAGAAAGGCGGCGAAGGCTATCGGCATATTTCAGACCCGCCAGGCTCTATCTGATGCCAAAATCGCGCATCTAGAAGCTCGCCTAGAGACTGCTCTAGCACCTAAAAGGAAAAAGAAGGTCCAGGTAGACCTGAATGAGCGATTCGCACGGGTTGAGGAGATCAAGGCTGCTCAGGTCCAGGCCGCGACTGCGGTAGAGGACTACCAACGCAAAAACACGGAAGTTGACCTCGTAAAAAGGTCGAAGGATCTCTCTACACTTAATTCTACCTCTTGCTTAAACGAATTTCAAATATAATGTACTTTGGTAGAGATATAGAGTCTCAAAGAGGTTTTGCCCAAATGGTGGAACTGCGCAGCTGGGGGGTTGCGCAGGAAGCAGGGGGTTGAACTTAGTCTGGATGTTTTCATGATCTCCTCTTGCAGTTGAAGGAATGCTTTTGCTCCTTCCCCATAAAGCAAGGGCATGTTGACACCAAAGAGTCCCATCAGAAGGTAGGCCATATCTTCAACCTTGGTCGTTGTGCGGTGCGCTGCCCAACTCATCCTCTGCGCTATGCAGGACGCACTAAGTTCGCGACCGTAGAGCACATCCACATTTATCTTTGTCACTCTATGGATCTCGTGAACAAGTCGGTTTTTCGTCCTAGAAGGGACCAGTCTTTGGCAAAGAAGTGGATTTCGCCGGGCGCAATGAGTTCTTGCAAGGTCCAGCCTCTCGTCACCCAGCGGCTTCGAGAGAGAGATATTTCGAAATACTCGCTCCCTGGGTGATCCGCCGGATACGCTGGAACATCGGCAAGGTAGGCAACGCACAAGGCTCCTTGCTTGTACCATTGAAACATGGAGTTGATGCCTCTGACAGCTCGGCACTGCTGGACTTGTCGATGCAGATGAGATCAACCTAGGCGAACATACCCAGCACGTTCTCTTGATGGGTTAATTAAACCCTCTCACCAACTGAGCTCCATTCCCTTTGCGCAATACTACGATTTGCCGCCAGACAAAAGTAGAAAAATAATAAAAGCATAGCCATTTCTCGGGGCATTCCGTATGGATATATATAAGGCTAAGTAGTTATAATTTGCGGTCGAGTCAATCTGGCCGTCGTCCCAAACAGGCCTCACCTGAAGCCCCACCACGCAAAAGACCGCCTCCGGTTTACCCACGAATTCCTTAAATTCGACTTCTCCCGGACCTACTCTACGGACGAGTGCTCGTATGAGAAGGGGGCGGGCGGTAAGCAGGTATGGGTATGGCGCCTGTACCACGAAGCGTATGAACCGCGAATGATAGAGCCAAAGACGGCAGGGAAGGCGATTTCGCAGATGATTTGGGGCTCAATTTCGCGTGATGGGCGATCAGATCTGGTGATCATGGACCGCGACGAAACCTCCGCAAGACAGGGCTATTCCGCGAAATCCTACATCGCTGCATTGGAGGAGGGACTCCTCCATACGTACGAACCCGGGATATTGTTATCCAGGATAACGCAAAGGTCCATACGGCCAAAATCACCCAAGAATGGCTGGAGACGCACGGCATCTGGGTCATAGATTGGCCGGTCAATTCCCCAGACATCAACCCCATTGAACATATGTGGCATCTGTTGAAAACCAAGGTCCTAGAGCTCCACCTTGAATTAAAGATGATGGGCGCCTAGGAGGAGGCACGGGAGGCCATGAATGCGGCGTTAAAGGAGACGTGGTGGGCGGTCCCTTGGGAGACAATCCGAGATCTGATCGACTCAATTCCGCGACGTCTACAGGCAGCAATCAAGGTAAAAGGGTGGCATACGAAATATTAGATATTTTCCAATTAAGCAATCAAAAAAGTAGACTGAATTTGCGTATGTACGTGTTTTTCAGCGTATCTCAAGATACAGTGTATGGCGATCGAATTTAGTGATTTTCGGGGGTGTGCCCAGAGTCGTGATGACTGCATACGATCATTAGGGTCTGAGCGCTTCGGTTTGGATCACAATTCACAAAACTTAATGAGATTGGCGGAACAATCTGATCGGAACGCCTCATCACTTGTGATTCGACGACATGCTTCGGCAACAGCCATAGTTCGGTCCAACCGACCAGCTTAGCGCCTGCTTAGCGCCAGAGCACGGTCAAATCGCAGACACGAGGCTGAGACCGTGGACAGGGCACTGTGGAGTGACCGGAATATACGCAGCCTTGGGCCAGAACTTATAATGGCCTTTCTCTGCCGCTACGGTCGTCGTCCTTGTTCTTCAAGGGCAACTCAACTCTCGCTTCTTCGTTAACGTAGGCAAACCGCACAACCTGTCATTCCACCCGCCCATCTGCCGGCCTGGCGCGCTTCCCTCCACACCATGGCATCCCTCAACTCTCTCGACAGCCCCGACTCCTATGCGGTCGCCTGGATCGCAGCTCTTCACATCGAGCGGGCCGCTGCAGAAGCGATATTCGACGAGGAACATGCGCCCCCAACTGGCTTCGCTAGGCACCCAACCGACGCGAACCGTTATACATGGGGTCGTATGGGAGAGCACAACATCGTTATCGTCTCTCTTGCCGCCGGAGACTATGGAACCACCTCGGCTACGACTACAGCCTCGAGCCTGCTTGCCTCTCTGCCATCCATCCGTGTTGGTCTTCTGGTCGGCATAGGCGGCGGCATCGCACGACCGGACGATGACTGCGATATCCGGCTCGGCGATATTGTCGTGAGCCAGCCCGATGGGACCACAGGCGGCGTCTGCCAGTACGACCTGATCAAGGCAAAACCTGGTGACAGGCGTGAGCGCAAAGGCTTCCTCGGACGGCCTCCGACGGTCCTCCTCAACGCGCTTGCCAGCATCCGGGCCGATCACGAGCGAAAAGACTCCAAGGTTCCCTGCTTCCTTCAACAGATGTTAGAGAAGTACCCGAAGATGGGCAAGAGATCCAAGACAAGTCCTGGCTATGCTTACCAGGGCTTCGACAACGATCGCCTCTTTAAAACTTCTAGTGGCCATGTCTCCGGGCCGGACTGTCGGGGCTGCGACGCGGCTGGCGAGGTTCAACGCGATCCTCGAGACACCACCGACCCCGATATCCACTACGGGACCATCGCATCCGGTAACACGCTGGTCAAAGACGCCGCTGCGCGCGATCGGATTGTTGCCGACGTCGGCGAGGATTGTATCTGCTTTGAGATGGAAGCAGCCGGCCTGATGAACCTCTTTCCTTGTCTTGTGATCCGAGGGATCTGCGACTATGCCGATTCCCACAAGAACGATCGATGGCAACGCTACGCCTCGGCCACCGCCGCTGCGTATGCTAAGGAGCTCCTGGCGTACGTGCCGGTTGCGGAGGTCCAGGAGACCAAGAAGGCGCTGGAAATGCTTCAATCAGGTTAGTGATCTATATCCTCCGACAGGGCCCTGGCCTGGCGAATAAACACGGAGGAGTAATAATCTCACGTCGAGCACATTCTGACCTGCCTTAGTTGAACAAAAAATCGATAGTATGCAGCAGACCATAGGTGTAGCGAAAATAGCCACTGATTCCATCCAGGCCGACCTTCGTACCGATAAGATCAAGCGCTGGCTTCGCCCCTCCGATCCGTCTATAAACGCCAACCACGCGCGGGAGCTCCGCCATGAGGGGACAGGTGCGTGGCTCCTAGAAAACCCGGCATTCCAGGAGTGGCGCTCGGGGTCGCGTCGACATTTGTGGTTGTATGGTCTCGCGGGATGTGGAAAGACGGTTCTTAGCGCAACTGTGCTGGATCATCTCGAGAAGGGAAACGACCGTCTTATCCTCAGCTTCTTCTTTGACTTTGGCGACGCGGAAAAGCAGACTGTGAATGGCATGCTGCGGTCGCTTGCTTTCCAACTCTACCGAGGCCGCGGTGCCTCTGCAGGTGTTCTTGACGCCTCATTCCAAGCACACCAGGGTGGCCGTGACCAAATTGCGACAAAGGCGCTCTCGGATGTTTTATTCAAGATTCTCGCAGTCGAGGCGAAGGTCTCTATCGTTCTGGACGCCTTGGACGAGTCGACAACTAGGCGCGAACTACTCCTCTGGATCAAGGACGTAGTTTGCAGGCCAGAGCTGGGCCACGTCCAGTTGATTTGTACCGGTCGGCCTGAAGCCGAGTTCCTGCACGACATGCCTTCGTCGATAGGCGACGAAAACCGCTTAGCACTCGATAAGCAGGCTGTTAACGCCGATATCCGATCGTACGTCGCAGCACAGCTTTCGCAACGACGTGACTTTCAGGACATGCGCCTGTCACAGGATCTCCTCGAGCTGATCCTCAGTAAGGTTGGCGGGGGCGCCGACGGGATGTAAGTTTTGGCCCAATTCTTCCGTGTCCTGACCGTTTTTCTGAGATGCATCACAGGTTCAGATGGGCAGCCTGTCAATTAGACAGTCTTGCCAGATGCCCGAGTCCCATGGCTATCAAAATCGCTCTCGATCATCTACCGCAGGACCTGAAAGAGACGTACAAGCGAATGCTCTACAGCATCCCGAAAGACCGCAGGAACAGTGCTGTCCGCCTATTACAGTTTCTCGTCCATACCCGTTGGCCTTTAACGGTGCTGGACGCCATGGAGATTATCGCGACAGACATAGAGAAGGATCCACCGCGTTTCGACGTTGACGGGAGAGTGTTTCGTGAGGAAGAATTTCTACGGCACTGTCCTAGCCTTATCTCCATCGTTCTTGGGTATAGAGACGGCAGGACCATAAAGGAGTTACATCTTGCCCACTTTTCCGTCAAAGAGTACCTTCTTGGGGAGAATAAGTTCAAGATTCCGACTGCCAGCATTTCCATCACGAAGACATGCTTGACATATCTTACGGACATCGATGGTAGCCACCAAAATATCAAACAGGATTTTCCGATGGCAAGATTTGCGGCGAAAGTCTGGACAGGCTTTGCTGCGTTGGCTCAGGTTTCAGAAGATATAGTTCGAGCGACTAACAGGTTCATAGAAGAGGAAGTGACGTTCCAACGATGGGCTCGCTTGTATCAGGCTGATACGGATTGGGACGCTGACCCAGGTCCTCCACGAGGTTCCAAGCTCTACTATGCTTGCTTCGTTGGGCTCGTAGCGCCTGCGCGATATCTTATCGGCAAGGGAGCAGATGTCAATGCCCAGGGCGGCGAGTACGGCAACGCTCTCCAAGCCGCCTCATCAGGAGGCTATCAGGAGATTGCCGCCCTGATCTTAGACAAAGGAGCAGATGTTAATGCCCAGGGCGGCAAGTACGGCAACGCTCTCCAAGCCACCTCAGCAGGAGGCCATCAGGAGATTGCCGCCCTGCTCTTAGACAAGGGAGCAGAT